ACCGCTGCATCATGTTAAAAACCTGAATCTGTTAAATCAATGGAGAAACCCACCATAGAGTTTGATACAGTTCATTTTATTAAGTTTGAGGCCATGTTACTTTAATTTAAAATGTTTCAGTCATTGGGTGTATAATAACTGCATTCATCTGTTATTTGTAATGCTGAAAACTGTTCTTCAGTTACAACTGTCACAAGCACTTTTTTATTATCTTTTTTTTTTCTAGCTTAGTCTCATTCATTTTTGGCAATGAAAAGTCGAGAAAGAGTAAAACTGTAGTGTTGCAACTAACGGTTAATTATCTTATTGATTAATCAAAATATCTCAATTATTGGATTCATTTTTTTGTCTATAAAACTGCCTGCCACAATTCCCTAAGGCCCAAGGTCTCATCTTCAAATATCTTGTCTCTTCCGCCAAACCATCCATCAGTTCACTCTCCTTTACAACAAAAACAAAGCTGGAGCCAATTAACGTTGGCCATTTTTGTTAGAAAAAACAAACGACTTAAACAATTATCAAAATTGTTGACGATTCATTTTCTATCTACCAACTAGTCGATAAATCATCAATTGTTTCAGCTCTAACACCCATTATAATTTCCCCAAGCCCAAGGCATTTTCAGATTCTTTGTTCTATGTGAGCATCAGCCCAAAACCAAAGATAGTCAGTTAACTACATGACAAAGAAAAGCAGCAGACCCACAAATCTTAGTCTGGAACCATTACCATTACCCAAAACTACTTATATGATAAATTGATTATCAAAATAGCTGCCAATTGATTTTCTGTTAATTGACTGATTGATTAATGAACTATTTCTTTCTGTTCTAGTATTCAAGTATTTCTCAAAAAGGCAGAAAGAGTATCAACTCTTGGTATCATCTGCAAAAATAAGCACTTTATTTGTTGACTCATCTTCTCACATAAACAGTTTTGAAAGTGATAAGAGTTTCACTACATTTGCAATTTTTACCAATCTACCAAAATTCCCACATGAATGATAACAGAAACATAATTGTATTTTGAAAAGATGTTAAGTATCTTGATTTCATACTGAAAATGCATAGGAGCCATCACAACTACACTAACAATGACACACTACTATGCATTTTTCTTATTTATTGAAGTATAATTCAAACTTCTAAATATTCTTATAGCAGATGTTTAGCTGACATAACCATATGTAACCTGTAACAATGGAATTTCCACACCATTTCCTCTCTTCAACTCAAAACTGAAAGAGTCAATAAGGGCAAGCCCCTAACCTCTTTCTACAGTAAACAGCAGCAACATGCAGTAAGTAGAACGTCAGTGATGTCTGACCACAGAGCCTCAGTTTGTAAGTCTTTGCAACGACTCAATGGGTTCAATTTTTTTCCAGTCAGAAAGGCCTAGAAGAAACCTCATCACCGACCATACCATAGATTTATAACAATAAAATATGCAATTCCATGTCATTAAAGCCATTTCAAAATTTGAAAGGTTAATTTAGAAAATTATGGTATAGCTACTGCAATACTAAATTATTTTAAAGGTGGGAGGGGAGGCCAATCAATGGGGCATTACTCTATATAAAAAAAAACTATTTAAAGTTTTACATGTGTCAAAAACAAACATGGTGGTCACACAGTTGATAACTTTAATCTCCAAGCTGAGTGAGCCAAGACAGCTGTCTAATCAGTTATACTAAAATACATTGCCTTCTTTATTTTACGGCTACACAATGGTACTTAATTACGCTCTGAATAACGATAACTCTAGACTGGTGTTTTTTTCTGTACTAATGCAAGGCTGACATTTTTACATGAATTCACTCAAGCGATTTCAAAATGTTATATTTAATGGAGTGGAAAACATGAGCGCACTGTGGGTGGAAGGCCAAAATTGAGAGGAAAAAGCTACATATTCAGATTTAACCTCATCGGTGTGGACAGTACCTAAGTCTGGTCAAGCAGATCTTCCTGTTCCTTGCTCATGGTTGTGCTCTATTCAAAACAGAATAATGCATTTCAAGTAAATATGAACTCATCTTGTAAAAAGGAACATGAATTAAAGGAAGTAAAAATAGGAACTACAGAGGTTGAGTCTTTGAAAACTTAAAGGAGAAAAGAACTTTCTTTCAACCACAACAGCAACTCTAAATGTCTCTCACTATCTGCTGAGTCACAATAAATCACACAGATGCGTGTCTGATATCGATCCCTAGTAATCACTGTGTTGTGAGCATCAGCTGTACAAAAAAAAACATTTTTTCGTTTTCACAAGACTAGAAAGCAGTTAAAAAAAAAAAAAAAAAAAAAATCAGGCATATTCGATTGTTGTCAGAAGCTAGAAGGGCATAATCGCAATAACCCGGTCAACAAGAGCTTATACACCTTAATACAGTTACTAACAACAGGCTTAAAAGGTACTTAGTAGATTTACACATGACCTTCAGCAGGGGTCTGACCTTTAGTGACAAAAGTGAATACTTTCTTATCTCTGGTGGTGCTGCAGAAAGCCCTGACATTATTTGTGAGGGAAATGTTAATGCCAGATATTTACATATACTCCAAACAACACAAATCTCCATCCTCAAGTCTAAACAAGTCCACTACAGTTCAGACAGTTTGTAATTACTAAAATATTTCAGTCTGCAGCACAATTCTATTCTAAAGGAGAATACAGAATAGAATTTGAGCAGATTGGATGTTGTATTGCTGCAGTGAATGTCTTCTTAACATCCAATGAACTGCATTTACTCAATTAACCGTAAACAATTACATTTTTTGTAAAAAATTAACATTAAAATTGTAACATTCACGTGGGTTGTTCACCTTCTACAGCTGAAAACGAGTTCTTTGGTCTGTTCTTTTGAGATAAAATGTGCAGTTATGGTAATGTATCCTGTCACATGACTGCTCCTTCTGTCAGTTGACACAAACAGCCAAACAGCTTCACAGAGTGACTGCTTCACCTCATTTTTAAGTGTCTTTGTACATGGTTGGAAATGAGCATCTCACTACAGAACTGCAGCTAAATAGGTTGTATCTTGAATTTAGTGAGTTAATCATTTTTCAGAAAGATAAAGATGGTAAAACGATGTTTAGTGTCCCAAATGCATCTTTTAACAAGTTGGAAACGATACGATACAGTTTAGAAGAGGTAACCCTCCAAAGCTGGTATGTATTCCCAATGTGCCTACTGTCAGATCTAAAATCATTTATTCAGTCCTCACAATGTTTACACAGAGAAAAAATGAATTACCATTTATGGTATCAATATAAGTGGGCAATATGGATTAAATCTGTTACAGTACATGTAATTCTACATTGCACTGTCAATATATCATGAAATAGTATATTTTCTGCAAAATATAATGAGAGACAATTTATGGATACCATATAAATGGCAGTTTTGGGTCTAATTTGGTGAAATTCATGGTTTATTCAGGTTATCACATTGATACAGAAATCCTATTTAAGCTGCATCATTTCCAACAATGTCCTGAAATATCAAAAGGGATAACCACCAATGGTATGTAGAATGTGGCAAAATCTCTGAGGATAAACAAGTTGATATTACCCCCCACAGTATATATCATGGTAACGCTTTATTTTATGGGTCCATTATTTCCTTGTAATTTCTTGAACGTTTTTTGGAATAAACACATGAAAACAAAATAGAGACACATTTATGACTGAGAATGTTATTTGAGTTAGTTTGTTTGTTTTTGACTTCCAGATGAATTTCCAATCAAGAAATTGCTCCATTGAAACCCCTGTGAATATTAATTTCTAATTAATTTGTTACAGGAAAATGTATTCTTCATTTATGCTGAATTGTATGTTTGTTTGTAGAGACATTTTGCATGTGTAGCTCACCTGCTGTCTTCTGAATAGAAGTCCTCAAGTAGTGCTAGCTTAGCATTTAGAAATAACTAGAAGTGTACCAACTGATCACACTTTTTACCTGTAATTAGAACCAAATTATGTGGTTCTGTCCAGGAAGTGCTTTAGGGGATTATTTCAAAATGAACTGGAATTTTCAGACCCATAAAATAAAGCATTAACTATAGTGTCATATTGCTCTCTATTTCAAAAATGTGAACTTGAAACATCTGCTGACCAGAAATGTGGTATGAGAGAAAAACAGCACTGTTGCCATGCTGAAATTTCCTACAGTTCATGCAGGGCCCAGACTGTCCGGTTACCCTCAGGCCATGGCTTCACATGCGGATATATTTGCAAATCCTTCCTTCCAGTGCAAACACATGCTCATGCAGTTAAATCATAAAAGAAAAGGCTACAGTCCCAGGTATGTCACAACCTACTGTACTCGTTTGCGAAGGGAAGGGTGTACCCTCTAGGGAGGTTACTTGAAGAAGATTGTTACATGCACAATGTGGATCTCTGGTGGATGCTGAGGATATCAGGGGTCGGTGGGAGGAGGGGGCGCATGGTTCAGTTTTCAAATGGGGCAACTGACAGGTTAATCCTAGATACCTGATCTCTAAGCAACGTGGTGAGAGCCCCTATGACAACATCTCTCAGTTGTGATACCGCTGCATCGACATCAGTGTTACAAAATAAATCAACACCAGAATGCCTAAATTAATAAGAAAAGTGTTTCTCTCGTAAAATATTTAATACTGCGCAGCGCCGATATCAAATCACTTTGATATACAGAATGTAAAAATCAGGAGGGAATTTTTCGACAGCCTTAGAATTAAAATTCATGTCAGTGCGTTAAAGAGACATAACAAGCCAGTAATCCCCTCTCCTCTCATCGAGCGTTACAAACAAACAGGCTGAGAGAAGATGAGCTAGGCCTACTGTTATGTTATGTTATAATCTTAATAACCTACATTATGTGTTACACCAATGACAAAACGACAAAAACGTTAACATCCCGTAAAGGCTAAATAATAACGTTAACCTGGCGTTATAAGACCCTTCGCTCCTTCCTTATTTGCTTCAGCATCAGCCCGACATTTACCCCGATGGCTAACGTTCTTACCGGACAGTTCGTCGGGTTCCAGTCCGCTTTCGGTGTCGAGTCCGCAGATCACAAAATAATCTGCGAACCGGCAGGAACCGGAGCTGAAGCCGGTGGTCATTTTGAGACTGGTCCGGTGGTACCCTTATCCCCTCAACAGGGAGCATATTAAAGGAACTGGGAGAGGTGATTTCTCTCTGCCATCACGGATGCTACGGCACTGCGAAGCTCGAAAATCACTACCGATACTAAGCTAACCAGTTCTGCTGAGAAGCTAACGTCAACGGCAATTATACATCCGGCCGGACTCCTTCACAATAAAACACCATCGCTGCAAAGCTAAAAAAAAAAGTACAAAACTGAAATGCAGTATAATGATGGCACGTTTTTATGAGAAGCAGGTTTGGCCAACATTCTTGTACATAGATATACAATGTCGTCCTTACATATACAGATATATACATACATAAAGGCATGTACGTACATACATATGAGTGTGATAATATAGGGCTATGTATGTGTCAGAATGTAACTGTGTATGTGCTTGGGTAGGTCTATATGTGTGTGCTTAGTATGCATCTGTGTGTATGTATGTGGCATGTATGTATGTATGATGTATGGATGTGGTTGATCCGGAAAGCACCATACTTTAACCGGAAGTTACTACCATAGCAGGACGCTAAGGCGATGATGGTGACTACTCTGCCTACAGGAACGCAGTAGGGACGGGTCCTCCTAGTGGCACTGGCAGGTAGTGGTACCCCAGTGACAGACTGTGGTAGTCTTTCAACGGTTGAAAGGTTCACTGTCAACCACAACTTGTTTTTCATTCATTTTATGTAAATACTTCCTCCATGGACATTTTGGTTTTGAAATAAAAAGGAACAAACATACACTCTTGACCAATCAGCTGTGGTGTTCTTCAAGAAGCACCACATCACTGTTTTTCAAACACAGACTCACAAGAAAAGCAAGTTCCTCACTACAGTCCAATGCATGAGGAATGTATATCCGTGAAACTAAACGACCATTAAACAAACACATGGCTCAACACAGGGGGGCCGGACTCCTCAGGCCGAGACTCAGCAGTTTACCTACACCTGAAGGATGAGGGACACTCATTCAAGGACAACAACGTATATTCTGGATAGGGATGACAGGTGGTTTGAGTTTAATTCCTGTGAATCCCAACTAGTCTGTAAGAACCGAAGAAGCCTCAGAGGGTCTTTATGTATTGAAGCAAGTCCAGCTGATCTTGACCCAATGATTGGAAATTGTGGTAGGCTTTGTAAACATAATCCTCAGTTTTATTATTGCAAGAGTGAAATTGTGTTATACAACCAAAATTGCATACACAGAGGTTTAAACATTATTGAGAAAACATAAGTTTAGTGATATATAGGCTACTTAACTTTAAAAAAAATGGCTACTTGGTTTCACATTTTTAATCGCAAACATCTTAACTAATCGTCTTCCTCAAACTACCATCCACCTTGTTACCCTTATCTATAAACTCCTCATAGTACATGTTGAAATCAGTGTGATATTGGCATATGAAGAAAGTTTACAGTGACTGATTTGTAGTCAACGTTTGTATCAAAATGTGTAAATTGAGAAGATGAAAAATCTCTCAATTTTTGATATTCTCATATACAATTTTGCTTGCTATGCAAGCATTTCTCATTAACCTTGTTAAGGTGGAGTTGAATTGTGGCCTAGACAAGAACTGTGGCCTAAGTACATTTTTCAGGGACTTGTAGTGGTCCTTTTCTCATCTTAGGGCAGTGCAAGGAAACCACAAACCACATATCATTTCATATCTGCTCTTTTTCTCACAGTAGTATATGAGATTCTCAGTGGATTTCTAGATTAACTGTAATGAACTGTTGTTATTTCAAGTAGTGACTTTATTTTATATTTGTAAACTTGATTTAATGTCACATGTCCCTTTTGATAGTTTTTGTTTTTTTATCTTAATATAATGACTTTTTTGATAGTTCATTTTTAATAATTAATTTCTTGTTTTAAAATTGTAATATCAAGTGTGTAAATAAGATAGTGTTGTATAGTGTTGTAAATTGTGTTACACTGTACACTCCATGTTAGTCATAAAACATAATGTTACCAAGTTGTAGTTTCCCACTGAAGTGAAGAGAAGTAAAAGACAAACAAAAAGCAAAGCAATCCAATACCTTTAAGAAAGAAATTGTGATGTGATGATTCAAATTTTCAATCCTGAATCCTTTTTCATCCCCCAGGGGGAGACACATATCCCTGTGCCAGACTTCATATTCACACTCTACAGCCAACATTATCATAGTATGCTGTTTCTGCAATTGGTTTACAATAAGGCTTATTATCCTCTTACAGAAAATGATTAATGCTTTTCAGCTGCAAACAGTTCTAACATTTCTATGGTGCATAGCATTTGGTGACAATGTACACCCACAGCACTCTCACAAATGTTGTTGTTGTTGTTGTTGTTGTTGTTGTTGTTGTTGTTGTTGTTGTCAATCATCCTGTGTGAACACACTACTCTAACCTGATTAGATTTAGTTCCTTCCTGTGAGACTGGTGTGCTTACTGAAACACTTGTATTGAAAAAAGATAATGTTATGAGATTGCAAGTGCACTGTCAAATAATTAGCATACGTGTTACATGCAAGTGTGTCATTCTTTACTGAAAGCTTACATTTCCAGGAGGCTGCACAATGTACTACTGGGCCTCTGGAGTCTATCCTCCCGTAACATTTTTTGAATTGCTGCAGGTTTTAGCCCATTCCTGTTCATCAAATGACACACACAACTCTCTCTGTCTCAGCAACACATTTAGGGGGCTGCAGGGCATTATTCCAACAGACATTAATGCATGAATAATGTAAAATGACAGTAGAAGTAAGGGATTGAGTACTTTTATTTTTGATACTTGAATTACATTTTCCTGATACTTTTTCAGTGTGGTGTTAGGAAAGGGTCTGGATACTTCCCCCACCTCTGTTTATCTAAGACCAGTGAAGTACCCGGATGTGTGACGTCATTCTACTGAGACGGAGCTGCGTGAGGACATGTATTGTTGGATAACCGGTGTGGATGTAAACGTACCGTGACTAAAGATCTCCACCATGTTGGCTTGTAAACGCAGTTTAACCAGCACTATGACCTCTGCTCTCCGGGTCCTTCGCAGTAATCCAGTAAATGCAGTTAACTGTCATTACACCGCAACTCTTTGGGGGGTGAGTCTCTGGAGCTACGTTAACCGCTAACCGCTAACCGCTCCTAGTCTTTGCCTCCTCAGGTCGCTGTTTGCAGCCAGGTGCAGAGACGTCTGTCCACTCAAACAGACGGAGAGGTCCGCATCGCACAGATCCTGAAGGAGAAGTTTCCGTCAGCCTCGTCGCTTAAAGTTGTGGATATATCAGGTAAACACAGATCTAACGGCTGCATGAAGTTTATTGTTAGAACGAAACGCTGTTAAACTTTTAATAACTAGGACACATTGGGATTAGGCATGCAAGTGACAACCGTTTTCATTGTCGATTAGTCTGACTGTTTTCTCATTTGACCTACTCGATTAATTGTTAAGTTGGGGAGAAAAGGACATGACAAATCTTCATGTTCCAGAGGTTACAAACAGCATTTTCTTTACCATTTCTACATAAGAAAATACTTATGATGATTATTCAACCATCAAAATAAGTAATGATTATATATTTTTTTCAACTATTCAATTTATCAGCTAATCTTGCAGCTCTATTTTGTATGCACAAGCCTGGCCAACATGTATAGTAATTTCCATGAATCCCATAACATCCAGTTTCCCCTGTTTGTTTTTCCATATGTACCTGATAAACTGGCAGCATGTTCCAGCTTGTCACCTTGTTTGATGTTTATACTGAATTAAAGAAACCCAAACCAAGACTGCCAAATTAAGTCTGACATATTTGGTATCTATGGAAACTATGGGCTCTAGAATTAAAAAATAAAATTTTGAAGACTTGTTCGATGTTTGTCTGCACAGCATTAGTTTGTAAAGACCAGCCATACCTACAGCAACATCAACAGTTCAGATAACAATTATTTCCAATTTTGATACATCTGTTGATTATTTTCTAAAAAGTCTTTAGAAAATAGTGAAAATTACCCGTCACATTCCTAAAGCCAAAGTAGACATATTCAGTGTGCTTGTTTTGTGCAACCAACAACCCACAACAAAACAGGATTCAATTTACTATCACAGAAGACTGAGAAAACAGGTGGATATTATCTTTAAAGAAAATGGAACCATTTGTTGTTTTTTACTTAAAAATACATACACAACAGTACCTATATTTACATATGGTTTAATACATTTATGTACTGAACCTGGTATAAAGTTGTTGTTTTTTTTTAATTTTTTTTATCTAAAACAAAACCAAACTAAACAGGGTAGAAACTGGTGACTCATTTGTTCATCATTCACCCTGATGATGCTGATGTAAGCTTGAGAATGGCTTGGCTGAAGCTCAATTTGGGCATCTGGACACTCCTGCCTCTCACATCAACAGTGTTTTATTAAACACAGTTCCGTATTCTATCATTTCTTTTGTTAAAGGTGCATCATCTCTGTGTTTTATCATATTTATATTACAAATATACATATTATTATGCAGACCTGTTTTTATTATTTTGTAGAAACCAGATGGCCACAACAGACTTGGAAAATGACAGTGTTGTTTGTGTGATCCTGTGTTGTGTTTAGGTGGCTGTGGGGCCATGTATGAGATCCACATAGAGTCCAGTGAGTTCAAAGGAAAAAGGACGGTGCAACAACACCAGTTAGTCAATCAGGTAAATCATAATAACAATCAACCCAGTGTTTTCTCTGTGGCAATAAAAAATAAAGATTAGTCCAAAGCTACGTGGGTCATATTGTACAATTCTAGTTTTAGCGGCAGTTTTGGAAATGTGTTTGTCTTTGTTTTATTAAGTGCACTGAAACTTATACCTGCATTTATTTGGTGTGGTCCATATATGTCTGTCAACTATGCTCATGAGATTTTAAGATGATCCTGTAATATAATTGAATAATTGTTTTGTCCTCCACAGGCTCTCAAGGATGAGATTCAAGGAATGCACGGACTGCGAATATTCACTGAGATTCCCAAACATTAGAGCAAGTCCTTCCACTGTTCACCCACAGCTTTTCCCTTTGTTCACCCTAGCTATTATGAATGTACAGAGGATATTGTGTAGTAAACATTAACAGTGAGAAATGTGTAATGAATGTGAGATTACGCTAAATAGTTATTTTTTAGTGAGGTATCTTCTCCTCTGAGATAATCTGAGACAACCTGTGAAGGCTATGATACGCACAAAACGACTTGGTAAAATGCTAGTAATATGTCAAGTCATGTTGGTCTTCTCAGGGTTGAAATGATGCTGGTAATGAAAAGCAATCCAGGAAGTAATAAATACAACCAACTTGAATATTGGTGATTTGCTACAGAACCTTGTTTAAAACAGTTTGTTGAGCTGTACTTTGTAATGTCACTCAAATTGTGATCACTGTGTACATGCTACAGTCCTATGTAAGGTCATATAAACTGATTACAATCCACTGGATTGTACATGGACCATATATTTATGCTGCCTAAGCACCAATAATTGAAGTTGCAATAAAAAGCAGCTGCTTCCCCCCCACACAGTCTTACTTGATTGACTATGGAAGCTTTTGTCATTTAAAAAGTTTTTTTTGACAAATGAGGTTTGCAATGAAAATGGACATTGTAATACTGAAATCAGTTACCACATCTATGCTTGGATTCACTTTTTTAATAATTGCTATTGTGGTTATTCAGTTGTATGGAATATTTATAGTGAAAATATAAAACAATGTTTATATTTTGCTGCTCTTTGAGAGCAAGGACAGAGTTACAATCTTAAGAGAAAAAAACAGATTTAAGACTTGCCTAGAGCCTCAGCAATAGTTGTTTTTCCTACGTCCTCGTAAAGTGATAGTATGAACGGTTGAGAAGTCTTAAACTTGTTGACCACAGAGGAAATCTCAGATGTGTTCTGATTATTAAATCTTGACTGATATACAGTTAAGCCCAAAATTATTCAGACCTATTACATTTTTCACATTTTATTGTGTTGCAGCACTATGCTAAAATAAAACAAAAATCCCCCTTTGCCTCATCGATCTACAGTCATAATGACAAAGTGAAAACAGAATTTTAGAAATTTTTGCAACAGTCATCAAAAAGTCAATGTAGTGCAATGTAACAAAATGTGAAAATATTGAAATGATATGAATAATTCTGTTCGTAACTGTATTGGCCAGGCTGATAAATAACAGGAAATGTCAGTATATAAATAATGAAAAAAATATGAAAATAGTGACAGTGCAATTACCCAAACCCCATAGTGGCCTATCTTCACAAAGCTTGTTTTGTCCAACAAATTGTGCAAATACATAAATAGATATTTAAAAATGAATAAAATGTCTGAAATTATTAAAAGGAAAAACTGGAAATTCTTCCAGTTGAGAAGCTGGAACAATGAAATGTTATATTTTTTTAATAGATTAATTAACTAATTGTTTCAGCTCTACTTGTATACACTGTTTTGTAGTTAAATTTATAGTTACGCATTATATTTAATGTCCTTTTCATACTTTCTGTATGCAAAAATTGCAACCTCGAAAGTAACTCGTAATTAAAGCCGTCAAAGAAATGTATTTGAGTGAAAAAATATATATGTATGTACTGTAAATGTAGCCTATAGTATTTCCCTCTGTGGAGAAGTATAAAGAAAATACTCCAGTAAAGTAGATTACAAGTACCATAAATTTGTACTTAAATTGGCTACAGTATTCGAGAAAATATAACCTACTCTCCACCACTGGAATCATGTGTTTCCACTTGTATTTACAAGCTGTAGTTCAGTGTTGATCAAGTTGGTGCACTCTTCGCCAGCAGATGGCGCCATTCACGCTTAAGCCTGCTGCAACCAAAGACAATACACAGGGATGGATTATAATTCAGATTCAAACTTTAGTTGAATTAATCAATTTCTCTGTTTCTCTGTCATGAGATAAAAAAAAAAAATCCAGCACTTTTATTTCGCAATATTGAATAAAACAGCAGAGGGTGAGACTGCAGGCTCCATTGTGGATCACCATCCTATCCATCCATTCATCCATCCATCCATCCATCCATTCATCCATCCATTCATCCATCCAGCGCCTGGTCTGTGCGCAGGCTGTTCACCACATCACTCTGAGCCCCGAGGAGGAGCGGAGAGGAGAGCAGCAGGTCTCCGACATGGCTAAAGAAGGAGCAGATATGACAGAGGAAACCGAGTACATGATAGACAAAACTGTGGGGAAAGAAGCGGAAAACGTGGAATCGTCTGGCGATGCCAAAGAAATGCGAGCGGTGATACTGGCAGGTTTTGGAGGTCTTAACAAACTCAGGGTGACCAGGAAGCCAATGCCCGAGCCTCAGAACGGTGAAGTGAAGATCCGCGTCAAAGCATGGTAAATATGACAAAATCAGCAACACATTTCACATGTGTTTACGGATTGTGATGAGCTTCCTACCCACAGCATTTGTGACTAGTATGAACGATGATGAATAACAACCGGAGGAGGATTTCGCAGTCATGAAGCCACAGGTCTTTTCTTGAAGCAAAACTGATGTCAGTCTAGGCAGAATTTTATTTTTTTCAAGCAGGTTCAGTCATTGTTTCAGTACAATTTCTGTTTTTTTTTTTTATATAACTGCTCTATTTGCAGGGTATTGATCAGCTCGTTTCATCCTAGACTACAGCTTGAGCCTTTGCCCAGTGTTGGCAATCCTACAGTTCAGGGAAATTAAAGTGTATTCCGTTTTATTTAATGGAGAATGCCCGTTGAATCTGGCCTTGTATTCACAGAGGTATAGCCAGTGACTCACTGCTGATAATCATGAAAGAGAAATAGTACTGGGTAATCCCTAGATCTCTCAACAACCTCTAAATATTTGTATTATTGATTAAATAGCTGCCAGTGGTCAGAGACAGGTCAGATGCATTGTTTCCACCCAGATATTGAATCAGGGTCTATTTATTCTTTGTTGCAGTGGCTTGAATTTCCTGGATCTGATGGTACGTCAGGGGACTATTGATAATCCTCCAAAACCTCCTCTTGTCCCTGGGTTTGAGTGCTCTGGAATAGTGGAGTCTGTGGGTGAAAACACAAAGGGATTTGAGGTTAGTGAAATGACATGTTGTGCATGTTGTGATCTATTACTAAATGTTTCCAGATTCTAAACCAATGAATCTGCATCAGCAAAACCTAGAGTTTTAAACACATGCTCAGAGTGCAGTAATGAGAAATAAATTAGAGTTAATCCATAATTTACTGTACAAATAACTCCCTCCTTAGTGTGTGTCTCATGATTGTTTCACATCAGTGTCTGCTAACTCAACATGTTTCTTTCAGATAGGCGACAGAGTTATGGCTTTTGTGAATTACAATGCCTGGGCAGAGGTGGTTTGCACACCAGTGGATTTTGTCTACAAGATGCCAGATGAAATGACTTTTGCTGAAGCTGCAGCGTTCTCCCTGAACTTTGTGGCTGCCTATATGATGCTCTTTGAGGTTGCCAATTTGCGAGAGGGGATGTCAGTGTTGGTGCACTCAGCAGGAGGTGGTGTAGTAAGTCCATTTCTTATACGACTGATGCACAGTCACAAAAGAAGTTCAGCTGTTTCATCTAACTGTCATTATAACTGGCAGCTACATGACTACAAATGGAATAAGTTGTCTGTTCCCTGTTTTTGTGTAAGAGCTGTTGCATATTTCACAGTGCAAAATGAAGATATATAGTGATTTGAATTATTTCTGTCTAAAACGTCTTGAACGTCCTTTAGAGTTATTAAAATTTTGAAATGACTGAAAGAAATGCTTTACTTTTCAAAAGACAGAAATAAAGATATAGTGAGTTATAACTAAAGCTAAACAATTAATCAATAGTATTACACAAACATGACCGATTAATATGATTAATAATAATATGTTATCCCTATATCAATATATCTACTTTTTAATGAATGTGTGTTTATTATGTGACAGTGGATTCTGTTGTATTTTTTGCAGTATATTTGGAGTTAACCTCTGGGCTCTCAGGCTCTGATAAATTGTTGCAACTGTGTGTTTATTTCCAGGGTCAAGCTGTGGCTCAGCTGTGCTCCACTGTTCCCAATGTCACCGTGTTTGGGATCGCCTCATGTTTCAAACACGCAGCCATCAGGGACTCTGTGACTCACCTATTTGACAGAAATATTGATTATATACAAGAAGTCAAAAAGTAAGCATGGAAAGTTTGTCTGGATCATGGTTGATTTGAGGCTGAAACGTCTTTGTTTACTTCCTCGTGGTGTCTTCTGGAAACATTCATTTGTTTAGGGTTAAAATAAGATTGAATTTGAAGGCATCACCAGGCTGTTGCATGTTATACATGTGAACACATGTGATAACGTGGACCTCGCAGAGCATAGAGGACTGTGCGAGGGTGCAGATGTTACCTATTACCTTATTTGGTCTTGTGTGGCCATGGTCCCCATGGCAACTCGCAGCTCATCTCAGAGAGCAGCAGCATTGTGTAGGGCGGAGGTCTGCACTGGTAGTGTGGAACAACTGCGCCAATTAGGGCTGAGCATTGATACCCTACACATTTCATTCACAATACAATGTACTTACACACCAGTTTACACTACAAAACACCTTGTAGCAAACCCGCCACAGGTTTACTGCAACTCTGCTATAAAGTCTTTATCTTTTTCTAAAGATGTTGATTACTCCATCACCACACCGCCTCCTCCACTTTACAGAGCTTTAGCAGTCATTTTTGTCTATACTGTGGAATCATTTAACCAGGACAGATGCACCAGCCACTCTACATATGAATTGCGCTGTAACACTGGATTCATCTTATTATAATACAGAGGGATTCAAATATTGTTTCATTAGCACTGATTGTTTCATGCTTTCTACTTACATATCAACAGTGGTAGTGGATTAATGTGCCTTTCATCTCTCTGGCCCACACATTCTTCTCAGGATCAAGAGCAAAGTACAATTAAATTAATCTTTTTACAAAAGGCAAAAACCATGGGAATCACAAGACCACCAAGCAGTTTAGCCAAGCCGGTGTCCAGGGCCACAAGGCAGACAAGTAAGGAATTAAGGTGCCCTTGATAATAACATGCCTTTCATTCTTTCATATACATACATTTAATGAGTCTCATTATGCCAAACATTTTTGTCTGATTGATTCTGTGTGTGAAAAGAACATGAACCTTTTGCAACATGTTACCGCTGAGGAGCAATGTGGGCACTGCGAAACATCAATAATCTCTTTATAAGAAAACTGTAGGCAGAGTCAAAAGAAAAATGTGGGTTGCATGCTGTAACTTTTTCCTAGAGTAAGGCTCCAGAGAATCAATTCTTATATTTTATAAATCCATGATGATGCTGCTCCAGAGTTTGAATCATGAGCTGAATATATGGCCTTATAGAGTGTTTTGCACATTTCGTGCTCACAGTCATAAACAAGGTAATTCAGCCTTGGCACTGTGAATGTATGAAGTCGGCCTTTTATTGTACTTGTATTGTACTATCTCAACTGCTTGAAATTTTTTTGTAGATGTACTCTTTTGTAGATAAACTCAGAAACGGTTAGTTGATTAACTGATTGGTGGATAGACAGAAAATTCATCTGCTGCTATTTTAGGGCTGTAAATAATTTTTATTATTGATTAAACTGCTGATTATTTTCACAGTTTGGCCTGTAACATGTCAGAAAAGCACAGATCACAATTTCCCAATCCAAAGGTGATGTTTTCAAATTGCTTGTTTTGTCCAACGAACAGTCAGAAACCCAAAGATATTGAGTTTATTATTATGTAACACAAACAGAAGCTGCAAATTCTCACATTTTAGAATCTGGAAATAGGTATTATTCATTATTTCATCTTAAAAAATGACTCAAACTATCGAAAAATTACCATTTCAACTGAAATCGTGACTCATATAGCAATTGCAATATCTGCCAAAATAATTGCAATATACTTTTTTTTGCATATCGTTCAGCCCCAGTTCAGACTATACTTTTGCATGTACATCAGTTTATATGAATCCCACTTTTAGTGGACTTCACCTTTACTTTGTTCTTAATGTTTTAGAATTTCTCCAGAGGGGGTCGACATCTTGCTGGACTGCCTGTGTGGGGAGAACACGGGAAAAGGCCTGAATCTGCTGAAGCCATTGGGAACTTACATCCTCTATGGTGAGAACAATACTTACACTTTCACTGTGTGTCAGTGCAAACTCTGAGTTTCCATTTATCACTTTCAAAGTGAAAATAACAAACTTTCTAGTGTGTTAGTCAAACTTAAGTCAATGTGCTTCAACTTTCAGGTTAATATTAGAACTAAAAGGAATAGTTTGACACTTTGCGAAATACACTTGTATGTGTTACATGGGAAGATTGTTACCACTCTTATATATGTCCAATTATATTTAAATTTGAGCCAAGAGACAGATAGCTTAGCTTAGCATAGTTGCCTGGTGATATCTAAACAAATACATATAGCCGAAATCATAGCACAGTATTTGAATATGTTTGGTGATTTTGTCAAACAACGTTGTGGTTATAAAATCAGGATTTAAGCAGCTTGGAAATGGCTTGGAATTTAACACGTAGTCTTAATGTGCTACGTTTCGGCCATTATTTCAGTTTGTTCCATTGTTTGACAACCTAAACAGAAAAACAAATTCAGCTGTATTAAAATACTGTGTGTGTGAGTACAGAGAGCTGGAGAGAACACGATCACGGTCAGTTGTTTACAGTGGTTCCAACACAGTTTTCAATTACATCGTCAGTTTCGCACATTGACCATACACGGTCCAGCCAAATAAGTTTTGACCTGGACATGAGAGCGGTATTGATCTTCTCATCTAACTCTCAGCAAGAAAGTGAATAAACAATTTTCCCATTATGTCGAACTATTCCTTTAAAGACGAGTCTTGCATCCATTTGGTGTGTTGGTTACTGGACTGGGTATGAAATAGTGAGACTCACTTGACTAAAACATGCTCCATAGCCTGAAAATGAAATTCATTGTCCTTCACAGCTTCCATTCTTATCTGATTTCTGTTAATTACTTTAGTTCCTGTCAAGCCTCATGAATCAAGTAAGAGCATAAGATTAATTCATTAGTTTTAGTTATATTGAATATGTGCGAAGGCATGCTCGCACAGATCTAAGGGTCTGAAGGTGCCAACTGTTTCTCCCCCACCTCACCCTTCATGCTTCTTGGCTGCCTATTAGTGACCAGCCACTTCTGTCTAGCCATTTGCACAGCATACAGAAATCCTTTTATTTTTGTTTTTTCAGGCGCGTCAAACATGGTAACTGGGGAAACAAAGAGTTTCTTCAGCTTTGCAAAATCTGTGAGTCAGAGATGCAGTCTGTCATCAAATTTGAAGGAAACAGTATCTGTTACTACCCAATGAACATTTCATGGCAAATGAAACACACACACACGCACAAATGAGTCACTCAGGATGAATGTGTTTGTGTTTTTTTTTTTCCTCCAGTGGTGGCAGGTGGAGAAGGTGAACCCTATTAAACTATATGAGGAGAACAAAGTCATAGCTGGATTCTCGCTCCTCAACCTCCTCTTTAAACAAGGGAGATGCAGTCTTGTGAGATCAGTGATGGACAAACTCTTGTGCCTCTATGACCAAAAGAAGATCAAACCGGTAGTGGACTCCCTGTGGGCACTGGAGGAGGTAAGAGCCTGATCAGAGTTGATCAGAGTGATCAGAGGCTGTAAGATGATGAAGTCAATGATGATGAGATTAAAAAAAAAAAAAAAACAATAAAAAATCGTGATCACAGTGTTAACATGAACGGAGATGTCAGGGAAGATTTTATGCAAACATTTTGGACGGCATGTAATCTTTTGTTTGCCCCTGCTGCTTTCTGTGGAACATTGTCAGCTGTTGTCGGACACTCTTCCACAGTTGGTGGGTAGGTTGCATCTTCCTGTTCCCAAATTATTTCACACCCACACAAATCCCGACAGGCCATATGTTGATCACTTAGCTCTCAATTTCTAGAAAGTCCCCTTTTCTTACTGTGGTTATTCACTAAGTGGTAAACGAAGCCCCATAACTGGAAAATTTGCCTTCACAAAGATACCAAGGGACATTTGAACACACTACTAGATGCGATCTCTTTCAGAGAGTGTCTAGTGTCTCATTAGCTGTGGTGTATCTGAGACCATGACTAAAGAGACAATCAGGGCAGGACTGTCTCAGACAGGTAGACAATGAAGTTGCCTTAGAAAGCTAATAGCCTGTTTCTTGATTTCCTGTTTTTTTCTTTGTGTGTAATGCTTGTATTTACAAAGCTCTTTTGTGGGACCATAGCTCTTCACATCTCAGGTGGTGCCTTTGCAAATAGAAAACTCTTAACTTTCCACCTGCATGGCCGACAGTAGAGAGGGGAGAAGTGGCACAAACCAGTCCCATATATCTTTTGGTATATCTTGTTGGCTGCATTGGGATCTTTTAGGATTCCTTTGTTGGTCAGATGATAAATACAGGCAACATATCCAGATCAAAAGTTTTCTACCTACACAGATGTTGTCACCTATTTGCCTGATGAGACCATTTTTGACTGAAAACTGTGCAGCTGTGCTTGTTTGAGTAGTTTGTTGCACCTTTATTATTCTTGTTGGTTCATGAAGCTTGGTGACCTCATGACATAGCCCCGCTTTTAAATTGGGTGTTTTTCCACCCATTACTAAAAATCTAGTAATTGTTTACATGACATCAATTGTTGGAGGTTTGTCCTCAGCAGCAGGGAATACTTGTCTGTAAGTATAAGCCACAAATGTAGAGTCAAGCTGATCAAACCCAAAACTTTTGAGTGTTTTGGCTTCTCATGATGGAAGACCAGCACCAGCACCAGTCTCTACACTTAAACCTCATGAAGCTGGTTTGGGATGAACTGAACAGAAGGTGAAAGCAAATCAAAGTGCAACACATTTGTGGGAACTTCTGTAACAGTGTTGGTAAGGAACTTTCCAAACAATGTTTCATTTCCATTGTATTTATTTGTTCTATGCTTTAATGTCAGAAATACTGAGACATTACACTATGTACATTTTAGAAACAACTAGAAAGTGTCCTAAAATTTACCCCCATACTTACATGCACAGTTTTACCTGAAAGGAACTTACTTGATTTTGATCACTGTTCAAATTAATGATATCAAAATGCATCCTCTGTATTTACAAGTAAAATGTCAGGAATTTGTTACACACACACACACACACACACACACACACACACACACACACACACACACACACACACACACACACACACACACACACACACACACACACACACACCACACACACAAATGCTCCAAGAATCCAGATAAGAGCAGAGGCAGGGCAGGTAATACATCACAGGAAGCAGATTACAAGTCATTCCAAGCTTTCTCTCTACATTCAGAGAGAGAATATGCTGATGATAATTGCTGTTTTCAGATTTTCAATTCTCATGGGAAACTTTCCCTGCACTGTTGTCATTAGAATTTGGCTGATTGCTCAGGCCATTCACTGGAACCATTGCCCATGAAGAATCTCATTAGATGGGAGGATGGCGTGGGATGTGGTGTCAGGGGCACAGCCTAGTTCATTTGTTTATATGCCTGGAAGGAGAATTCAGAGGGCGTTTGTTTACAAGTTGACCTTGGTAACCCTTTTTAATGGAATGAAAAGTTGTACAATGTGCCACACTTGAGCAGGATAAGACATTAATCAAGAGGTTTTTTTTTTGACCACCAGCAGTTTCAGTGAGGAAAATATTAATTTGTCTCTATCACTTGGGGTTCTAAGAGGAATTTTTTTTTAAGATGCTACATACAGTATCTCACAGTGATTACTGGTCATTGTACACAAAGACTTATTTCACCCAGAATGCCATTGGAACTTATCCCCTCTCTTCTGCAAACTTGCTACCTCGCAGCCAAGTGCTGGACAAGTTTCTGACCTAATTTTGCTCTTGGCTTGATTTCCGGTATTTCATTTAACAAATGAATGCTTGGGACACAATGGCTTCCAGACAAAGAGGCACATTCAGTTGTGTCTCTGTGTGGATTGTAATAAGCAAGCAAGATATGGCATCCTGTGTAATCTTTTGTGATGTGTGATTTTTTATTTTTTTCTTTACACGATGAGTCAGAGAAGCTTTCATGAGTTGCATTGATCTTTTATTGTTTATGGTTTCGGACTGCTAGGTTGTTGCTGCCCTCAAAATACTTTTGTGGAGTCTAGAGTGTAGAGTTGGATGAAATCATGAAAGTGATTGCACTTGCCCCACTTCTCCCATTCCCTCACCACCATGCTGATAGCAATCAGACTGCAGATGATTGAATACATGGACCAAAGCACCGATGGTCTCAAACTGACATTCTGGCATATCATCTTCTTACTTACTTGTCAGTTATATTCGCCCAGCAGTAGCACTGGCATGAGGATTGTTGAATTCGAACAAAATGTCAGCTAATAAAATACGCTGTGAACAGGTGCTTCCACAGACCCTGGTGACAGAAGCCCGACCTTCATTTTGGCAGTAGACTCATTAAAAGCTCTGTCTGTGATCTGTGTCGTGTTAAAATGTTCGCAGTGTATCTAGGTGTCAAGCACTACTGTCCTATATCAGTACAACAGACGTAATGTGTCAGTCTTTGTTCATTTAGTAATAGCGTCTGCAATTTTAGTTTGTTTTTGAAAGAAACATAATCACTGCTTTTTTTAATGTAATATTTGCATTTGGGTTATTCTAAATGTAAAGTCTCACTGTTATAAAAGGGAGTCTGGTAATTACTCTAAAATATGGGAGTGGAGAAGAAGTGGAAAGACAATGAAAAGCCCATGCTTCATCCTTCAGTCATCCTCACATGGATGAAACCAACTCCAGATAGCTATTATGTCTTTGCAGAGTTGGTGTATGCTTTTTTTTTTAAGAAAGTTATTATTAAAATCATTTGTTTTTGTAGGATGTGACTAATTTTAAAATTGTAAAAAACACAATCCTTTTTGTTATTAGACCCCATGCTACCCTGCCGGTCTAAAGCTGGTCAATCAAGAGTCCTAATACAACCTATATTGTTCCTGCAGTCATAGGTAAAATGAAGCAGTGTAGTTATCTGCTTGATATAAACCTATGGATCATTACTACAGGCAGTGAGGTATTCAGTGTGATGTCAAACGTGCCCAGCAGGATGAGTCAGCATCATCTAGTCAACATCAAGGCCATTAACATTTCTCACAGAGCGAGTTATAGCTGTTATAGCTATTCTGAGAGAGGAAAGGAGTCCTGTGTCTGCAACAACCAGGAAATGGTTGCAAAAGTGTCTTTTTTATTATGTCTTTTTTAGCAGGTACTTTGAAATGTCTTTTCAATGTCATAGCGGACTTCCCCTTGGAGAACTTTTATTGTTGGAAGCTCTGCGTCGTTCTGCTCATAAAAAGACACATTTTATGAGCAGAATTTATTTTATAAGTAGAAGTGAAACGTTGTAAAACACCCTCATTTCTAACACATTTACTACAAAAATTTTACAGTTCAAATCTGGTTTTAAAACATTGGTGCCCTGGGCACTTTGGGTTTTTCTACATGATCTGGATCAGACATAGTACCAGCCTAATGCAGTTCTACAACAAGAACCTATAGAACTTCTCTGAAACTCGGTTGCTTTAAATAAATTCCACTGACCACAAAGAAGAAAGAAGTAAAATTTATTTTACGCTAAATTAAAATCACCCAACCAAAATAAGACATCTGTTTGTATGGATAAACCCAACTATGTGTTACAGTTTTATTCATGTTCCTTTTTTTAATCACTAATATAGTCATGCTTTTAGATGTTAAAAATTAGAGTCGGCATTGTGTGAGATTTCATTTGTGATATCACATTTGATGTCTGCACCTGGAGCTTGTTGAAAGTAAGTTGACTGTTGTGTTTTATCCTCAGGTAAAAGAGGCCATGCAGAGAATTCACGACAGAGGCAACATAGGAAAACTTATTCTGGATGTCGAGAAGTCTCCCACTCCTCTGGTAACAACATTTTTTCCTAGTTAGTTATTAGAAAGCAGAAAGCTAAGTAGCTGGGCCATTGGGCCACATTTCTTAATAAGGATTGATTCTAAGATTAAAGTTTTTTTCTAAGTGCAGTTCTACAAAGATGTACACTTTTCATACCAACTCCTGCAACAGCACTTTACATTTTTTACAGTAAGAGTGGCTGTAGTTAACTGTCTGTATACTATCTTATAATATATAAAAGAAACTTTAAACACAAACTAGAAATAAAAAACTTTAAATAAAATACAGTTTTTTTTAATCGAACAAGAACAAAAACATGTAATTAAAGTATTATATGACATTGATGGTTGAGGGTGTTTGACTGAAAGGAGGAAGAAGAAACAGGAGGAAGATGAAAATAAATTGGCAGATGTACAGTAAGAGGACTCACAGTGCAGAACCAGATTGGGGGAGTTTCAACAAGTTATTGAGGAATAAAGAAAACACCCCCCCCTTGTGGTCGTCCTGGCCTCATTAATGCAGCGTGGTGTTCTGTTGATAAATAGTTAAATCTGACATTTCCAATGCCTACTGCACAGTTTCAGGTCCAGTCAGGGTCATAAGGAGGCAGTGAGCAGGATTTCCTCCTGTTTTACGGCAGTCGTTTCCATGGTGATCTCAACATCACACTACAAACTTTTAGAAAGTGTCGACATGCCTATATACAGCTGCCCATTAGCCGAGAACACATTTACATATTGACTGCACCAGTATACACTTAATGATATCTGAGTAATATTCTATCACTGTAGATGGCCAGCGACAGCACAGAGACCAGTGAAGCAGGAGAGGAAGAGGAGGAGCCCGAGGGTGACAATGACAGCAAGGAGCGAATGCCTTTCATCCATTAGACCCAACGAAGCCCTCTGCACTACGCCTAGAGTGTGCGGAGAGGCTGCACAGCTTCACCACAGAGGAACACAACCACACACCAGTGTTGTGCAGTATGTGCTGTATGCATGTATGCATGAATGTATGTATGTACAGTGTATGTTTGTGCCTCTTACCTATTGTTTGTCAGTTGATTGGTCAAGCAAAAGTTTTGGGTAAATGAAGACTAATTACATGTTTGTCACCCAGGCAACAAGTGTAAGTGCCATTCTTGAAATAGTATTATTATATTTTTTACTGTATTATGAAGTAACATTATGCTAGTCAATAATGTGAATAGGTCTGTGCCCGTTTTACAGTTAATTTCATCTGCCAGCAGTTTATTGAATTAGCAACAGACTTGTTATTATCACTTTAAGCGTAGTATCTTTAAAATTAGATTTAGTCAAAGCTCATAAGTGTCATATGCTGTAACAAGCTTAGCATGTCTAAACATTTCACAAGATGGAAAAACATTTGATTTAATTCTTATCTGTCCTCAACGACGACAACTGAAAAATTAGAGCAAACAAGTTACGCTGAAGTTTGAGAAAATGACCCCAAATGTGTTGATGCTCCTGACCAAGCGAGTGAATCACTTCTCATGTTACAGTAGTAATACATAAGCCAGAAGAGGTAGAAAAGTCTGTGTGTAGATATTTGCATGATATTTTATTCTTCTGTGCCAACCTTGTAATATTATGGGATCACCAGTGCCTTTGAGCTACAGACGAGTCTTTGATACTTGACATGTTTTCCTCGTGTGAAGTTCATATTGAACAAACAAACAAAAAAGGTCGTTTCAACTGGAATGTGAAAATGGATGCATATACTATTAAAATTCTTCCTTGCATGATCATGTAATTTTGTAGTAAGGAGGACATATTTCCCCACTAAACTGTATATTCAGAAGTTTTTACTCAGTATATGACACCTTACAGTGTTACATTTATCTTCAGGCCATGTAGACAGTTTTGTAAACACTGGGGTAACACAGAAAAAAATTACAGTTTTAAGACATCAAATTTATATCTGTCAAAAACTTGCAGATTATATATAAATACAAGAAAGACTAAGATTAATGAGTAAATTCTAGATTTTCTTGAGGAGGATCATGAAATAGTCAGACTGCAGTCCGAGGTTTGTGGAGTCTCTGCTTTACTTGTCTGACCAAAGTTGTTTACTTGCTGGTGCCTCACAACAAAAGTGCCATGAGACTCCCAAGATAAATTATTTTTACTATGAGCTGATGCATAAAACCAGGGTGATGTAGGTTTGAGCAGCACTGTGTGTTACTTTATTTTAGTACGATGCCCTTCTACTTTGCTCTGAATCTGCAAGTTGCTAATGAAATGCAGGAGAGGAACAGCTGACAAGGAACAAATGTTTGCCACACACGCTCGCAGTCAGCCAATCAGATGATTGATCTGTTTTTATTTCTAATTTCTCAAAGTAAAAACAAACGTTGCATTTCATTTTCACTATTTATTCGGCCTTGCCTATTCAGTGTGCTAGTCATCTGATTTGTTTATTACTTCAAGTGTTTTCTCACACGGAACATCACAGAAACAATGAAACAAGTCAACGTTTGATAATCATGCCGTTTAAAATTTTTTAAAAATGGATCAGCTTAGCAACACCAAAACTAACAGGAGTAAACACTGCATCCTTCGAAGTTGAATGATAAATGGTGGAGAGACAGTGTTAGTGGTTGCACTCAAGTGATGAAATTAATCATTTTAGAAATTGATTTCTAGACTTGGAAAAATGGAAAAATGATGCATAGACACTGCAAATACATCTAAGTTTTGATGCCTTTAATGTCAGGTCTGTTTGTGTGTGTGTGTGTGTGTATGTGTGTGTGTGTACGAGTGTGAGAGAGAGAGACAGAGAGAGAGAGAGTGTGCATGTTTTTAAGTGTGTGCCTTGTAAAAAAAAAAAAAAAAAAAAGAAAAACGTGTCTAAAGAAGTGTTTGGCATTGTAGTATATTCACGAAATTCCTTATAAACTCTGGTTTACCTGTGGCCGTATATTTTGTCACATTTTTTTTTTGTTGTTGTGTACTTTCTTTGAGTACAGCTCTGTTTACTTGAATAAATTTATCTGCAAAGTATTCTGTGATTGTGTTTGGTGTTAATTCAATGTTTGAATATATTTCACATGAGATTTACGCCCTCCCTGAAAGTATTTCTTTCCACATTACATTAAAAAAAATGTCCCACATACTTCTCAATCTTATTTAAATGTGTTTATTTTGAGCTTATGAAATCAATGAGGAATAATGACTTTTACCTGGACTCAAAACACAAGTTGACTTTATGAGTAGTTCTTCATGTTATGAATGTTTTTCAGTGTACATTACATTTGAAAACTTGCAATATAGTACTAATATATTGCAAATTTCTGTATAATCCCTCAGTTTGGCACCAGATGGCAACATAGTTCTAAACTGTTTCAAATTCTACAGATAACAGTGGATATCAGTTAATATTTTCATCACCAGAGGAACACGCTGGTTACGAATTAATGCTTGTGTTCTAACATTACTCAAATGTGCAACTGTTGACCTTTGCTGCGATGTTCACAGGTAGTCAGCAGTATTGCCAGAATCAATTCATGTACTGTTGGCAGAACTGCTGCACACTATATTTTATTCATGTGGTCTCTTAATCATTAATTATGAATTAAACCTGGACTACTGATCCTCTGTAAAGCAGCTCCCTGTCTCATCCTCAACTCGGGGCCCAGTGTTAGTTTTGGGTGTTATGTTTGCCTCAGGATGGAAAGAGAGTAGTGTTAGAAGAGATCACATTGGAATAGCATGTGCTAATACAGCTTTTTTTTTTTTTTTTGCACGCTAACTAAACATAGAACTTGGACTCAGTACTGTGCAATGAGTCTGAATTAAATGGATGTTTCATACAGTACCATTTCACATCTACTGCATTACAGTAACAGTAAATACAAACATTTCTATCTTCTTGTATTTTTATTTCAAGGTAAAGTTTGTATAACCTGCTGGACAACAACACAAAAAATAATCTTATCATACCAGTAGGTGTATGTTTTGAAACTAATAAAAGAAGAGTTTTTAATTAGCAGCATGTGTGGTTAGAATACACTATACGTGTGTGGAGAACGTATTATTTAGTACAGCCTTAACTGAAAGGTAATGCTCTAATCTAATATACAATTTGAAGACTGTAAAATGGTAAAACATACACGAGATGACTTTGAGAGTTGTATTACTATATTGAGCCCATATGCCCGAGGGTGTTTCTTATTTAGCTCCCGCCTCCCATCTATATACAACGTCTCACTCTAAAAATAACTTTGCCCGCAGCAGAGCTGAGAGCTGGACTTTCCTCAGGTCTAATAGTGGAAGTCTGTGTGATTGAAACATTGCAAAGATATCTACAGTGTATAAGTAGCAGCAACATTTACTTGGTTACTTGTTTTCATGTACTGACAGGTGTGAATTAAACCCTTATTAGTGTAGCTTAATACCACCCAGTGTACATGAATCCTATATTTCCCTGTCAGCTGGTATCATTCAATAATCACACTTTTTTCTGAGTTGACACCCAGGTCTAACATTATTTTTCTCTTGTCAAAAAGTGACTTAGCGTGTCCAAAGCTTACACATGAGGCCGGTGGGAAGATGGATGAAGAACGCTCTGTAATAGCAGAGCAGTCAATGAATTTCCAGTTTGTTTGTGAAATGAAAGGGAACACTGCTTAGTGCACCTTGTCCCAAGTAAATATTTATCAAAAGCCAGACACAAGGAAATCATTATTTGCCACTCCACCCTTATACCTCCCTCACCTCCTCCTGATGTTTGGACAAAAACAAACAGAGCTGGAGCCAATGCAGGGAGAGTACGCCGAAAAGGCATACAGAGGGCTAGTATATATATTGAGCTGCCTGCAGTGTTTTTGGTTCCTTTCACAGCAGTATAAGGTGTGCCACTGTGTCCTGTCCCATAGGATCCACTGGCCTCAGACATGGCACGTCTGGCCCTCCCTGTCTTCCTCGTTCTTTGCTTCTCCTTGCTCCACTTCAGCTCCAGCCGCCCATCTCGCACCAAGAAGGCTGTGTCGGCTCGGCAGTCCGGAGGTAACTATACACATGGCAGAGACTTCAACAGTGACATGCCCAGCAGCGATGTTCATCTGACCCGTTTTTTTTCTTGCTTCTTCATCGAGATGCAGCTGCAGAGGGAGATGATGTGAAGTCCCAGCTTGAGAGGTTGTGGCAGGAGGTGAATTCACTGAAAGAGATGCAGGCGTTGCAGACAGGTACTGCTCTCACTAAGTAAAGGCAGATGAAAGAGAGACAGTAGATTGGTACATGAGAATCATAAGCATCACTGCATTCCATGTTTTATCTCAAGAACAGGTAAATCAGAGATAAAGTTACTGGACAATATTGGTTAATACCATCATGGTGACGTTGGTTATGTTGTAAATGTGTTAAAGTACATATGAATAGTGTCGCTTGTAATTTAGGCCACTGAGCTGTCATGCAAGCCTGTGGACACTCGTGAGACATAATTGGTAACTTGATAACTAGATTTTGGAAGTCTTGGTGTGCGGAGTCACCAGCAGGGGGCAGCAGCACTCACATCAGTCAATTGTAAAGTAAAAGGTTGAATTACACAAAGGGAAGAATGTTAGAAACAAACAATTTATGGGTAATGTAAAACTTCCTAAATTATTATTATTTTGTATAATTTTATGTATTTTCCTGTTTTTGTTTTTTTCCATTTGTTTTTTTTTTATAAAACTTAGTTGATCATATAGAAAATGCTATAAATGTATTTATTCATTGTTATTGTTTATTATTTTTATTGTTAAAATGCCCCCCTTTTCCTTTCTTGGCTAATTCATTAGTCACTGTTCAGATGTGAACTCTCTATGTAATGAGTTTATGAGTATGGCTGTATGAATTGCTACAAATATAAAAAATGGGGGATTCACAAAATAAAGTATTAAAACAGATTATTTTTTATCTAATGTGCATCATGATTATTTTCTTATCACACAAGAAGCTAGTTTTGAACTCTTTGAATACCATATAGTTACTTTAAAGTTGCTCATGAAGTAAGTGCTTTGTGTTTTCAGTCTGTCTCCGTGGCATCAAAGCTCACAGGAAGTGTTATCTTACAATTGAGGAACCCAAACATTACCATGAAGCGAACGAGGACTGCATTGCACAAGGAGGAACTCTTGCAACGCCACGGGACATGATTGAGAACAATGAACTGAGAGACTATGCAAAGAGGAGCGCTCCAGGATCCAAGGACTTCTGGATCGGTGTGGCAGACATAGTGAAAGAGGGCCAGTATGTTGATGTCAACAGCCTGCCAGTCAGCTTTTTCAACTGGGACCGCTCCAAGAAGCAGCCCACAGGAACGAAGAGGGAGAGCTGTGTTGCCCTTTCAGTGGCTGCACAGGGAAAGTGGTACGATGAGGTGTGTCGCAGCCTGAAAAAGTACATATGCGAATATGTCATTCCTTAAAGGCAATGTTATTGTTGACAACTTGATGATCATTCATGCGGGTCATTAATTAAAATTGTGCAAAACTGTGTTGTCAAATCTGTGGCGATTCATAGTAGAAACATGACTTGTTATTGGCCATGTATTATAAAATTTCTTTTATTAAAATTTGTTATTAATTAGGTTCCTAATTAGTTTTGATACACAAAGAAGTAACTGGCTGCGTCGTGTTCACTTTACTTATACTGTAAGTCCCAAAGCCTCAGATGATCACTGAACAGCATGAAAAGTAAGAAATTCTGGATGAGTTACACAGAAATAAACAAAAATGTAAACTGTTGTTGTTTTGTTAAAACTATTTTATCCTAACTATAAACTTCTCAGCATTTCACAACTATTTTTCAGCATTGAGTTAACTAATTTCTTCAGCATCAATTTTACATTGATAACAGTTGCATACATACACACCAGTTCCCTAGTTTAAGGCTCAACTGCTGACCACTGAATAGCTAAATGAAAAAATGTGGGTGGAGTGATTTGCTAATGAGCAGCATGGAAACACAGTAGGGGTTTTACTTCCCTTCCCTGTTGGTTGTTCTCAGGGGCGTTATTACACTGACAGAGCCCAAAGAACCCAAACAAGTTTTAAACAAATCTTTAGCAATAATGTAAATGAGAATTATAGATATATAGATATCATCTTTATGGGACCCTTGTTGTACTGTATGTTCAACTCTGTTATCAGATGTATTGACTAAAAAGGCAGCATGTGCGATTCTAAATGGTAAATAATGCTACAACTCAACTATGAGGCCCTAATGGAGATGTACGTCTTTGTGCTTTATTTTTCAGATTTTTTTTTATCTGTGATATTGCAATCTTAGGTAAAAATCTACTTAGTTCATTTCATACCAAAATATTGTAGCATACTAAACTACACAAAAACTGAATGGGTGTACAAACATTATCACTGCACTGTACATACATGGATTTAGAGTCAGATTGTAATGCATCTAATCAGTGTATCTTAATCTAGTGCAGAGGATGACCTATACATCCTGCTAACATTGATATCCACTTGTTTGGTGACAATGAGGAAATTACACATTCTATTCTTGTTTCCTTATTCTGTTATAACACATTACCCTCATTACCCTCATTACCCTCATGCACAAATGCAGTGCCCCAATCCCCAAATGGTACATTTGTGTGAAGATTCAACTGCAGTGCTAAGAGTGAAATTGAAACTATATGCAATCTAGAGCACAGAGTGAGTCCAACTGACTTGTCTTTGGAATGTGGGAGGAAACCCAGATCACCCAAAATAAACTTGAACAAACACAGAAAAAACATGCAAACATGCAGAAAGGGGCTGTTATCAAACTTTGACCCTTTTTGCTGTGAGGTGACAATGTGAAATATGCATTTTAACTGTTTGCTTTGAGTTGCTGCTGCAACACTGCAGTGTAAAAATCCGGTAATTTAATTTTAAAAATACAAATTGGTTAACATCTGTGGTAGGCCTATAGCTACAGAGTAACATTTTAAGGGTCCCTGGGCAAAAATGAGTGCCTGGGCCCTTATAAAGCACCCGCTCCGCCCCCTCTCAGTGCACTGTGTACAGTACTCCTTTGAACCAAAAGACTTTTGGTTTGAGGTAATATGATTAAACACAAATGCACATATGCTCTGTGCTCAATATCATGGATTGTAAAACTACATTTTGTGATTACATTTACTGTGGGACCCAGCTGACTGCCTTTACAATGTCAGTTGATATTATGTTTCAGTGTTGCATATCATATTTCCATATTACAAAGATACAATTTTTTGAAATGATCTATCAATTGTCATACAGCAGACTCTGTGGGCCTTGGGCAGTTGCAAGCTTTGCTTGGTTAGTTAGTCTTGAGTAGGCTATGGGTGTGTAGTGTGTTCAGCATATGTGAGTTTTCTTTCATTCCTACTCTGAAGAGATGCATGCAATGTAAGATGGAGGCCATCTTGGACAATACCAACCATCCTCTCCACAACATTCTGGCAGGACAGAAAAGCAGCTACAGGTGTAGCAAACGTCTCATCTCACTACGCTGCAGAACACAGAGGTTCAGGAGATCCTTTGCGCCCACTGCCACCAGGCTGTACAACACCTCAGCCAAAGGAAGTGGACTAATCTAACTATTATTATTATTATTATTATTATTATTATTATTATTATTATGATCAACAATGAGCTAATGGACACATGAATTTTCCCTAGGGGATAAATAAAGTATCTATCAATCTATCTATCTATCTATCTATCTATCTATCTATCTATCTATCTATCTATCTATCTATCTATCTATCTATCTATCTATCAGGATTGTTGTAGGCCAGGAGATGCAGATGATTAATGGGTCCCTCTCTACCATTCACATTTAGATAAAAATAGCTGTAGTACTCCGTGTGAAATTCTGTTACTATTCATCATAAAACCATGTTGACCACTTCACTGAATTTAATCAATCATAATTGTTGTGATCGGACTGAAAGCAGTGCATTGTTGAAATTGAAAGCATCACCAAACTGACCCACATCTGACCTGCGTCGCTCTCGTAGACGGGTTAAACCATTAATGCCGTGTTTTTTGTGTGTTTCTATTATCTCTGTCCTATCAAAAACAACCAAAAACGCACAGACAGTTACCGACGTCATCCTGTCCGCACACATCACGCACGCTTGTCTGGATGGAATGTGACGCCACAGCTCCGTGCGTGAAGTCTCGCGGAGTACAACACCGGCCATTTTTCTCCGTTTATAGCAGGACACTTTGTGCTTGGGCAGTGTAACCGAGATCACTTTTACAAGCTTACAAGTTTTGGCAAGTTCAATTTTGTGATCCAAGCATCCAGACTTACAACAAACAGGACACAAACCATGTTTGTGTTGACCGTTGCAAAGTTTTTTCGCTGACATCCCTGTCCGGATAGACGCTTGTCTAAACTGTCGCACAAATGGAAATGGTGCCTAGCGAGGAGAACCAGTTCGTACCCAAAGAGGTGAGGTTATTACGGACCCAGCCCGGGGTCGGAGAATCAGCCTCTGGCCGTCAGCTGTCACCCTCGCAGATCATTCAAATTAATGATGGCAAAACTTTTGCACCACTTTGCGAGTTTGTGATCTTGGTGTATCATGTAGAGGCTAACTCTCAGCTGCTAACAGATAGCTAAACATGACTTGGACGGCCTATCGTGACATGGCTAACTAGCGTTAGCTACAGCCAACAGTTAGCGACTGCATCTCAGACAAAGTGAGTTTATGTTGGTAGCTAAAGCTTTAGCATAATTATCATTAAGTTATCTAACCTTGTAATTTGGCTTTCTGATAATCAAAAACTCAAGAGCCTTTTAAATGCTGTGGCTGACATTATGTTATCCCCAAACAAAGACGACAATTGTCAACATTAGTGAGCTAACTTGCAAGTAACATTAGCTGGTAGGCTCTGGCAAGCTAATGTCGTTAGCTTTTTAAGTCTGATTAATGGCAACAACTCTAGCTAATTTAGGTGTTTTTGAAGTTGCTAAACCAAATGTAAATAGCCATACCAACTGACATGACTGGCAGCGTTGAACTAACGTTTACCCCTAACGTTAGTTTTATAGATATACATACTTTGATCTCCTGTTGTCCCCGTGTTCAGATTGTTTTGAATGGAACTTGTAGCTGTAGTGTAAACGTTAACGTTAGCTTGTCAAATTCGCAAGCTAACGCTAATGCTAGCTACCGCTGTTCACGTAGCTGCAGGTGTGTAACATAGCGTTAATATTAATGTTAGATATGTGGATGCTCCTCATATTTGGATAAACCTGTTTTAACATCCTTGATGAACTTCTTTGCCATGATGAGGGGCTACTTAGCCTTTGCTTGTTTATCCTGCTATGTTGACTTGGTAGGTTGCTATAGTTAACGTGCAATACGCTACCTAAACAATAATCTATCACTCTGCGATATTCTTGTGCTGTCATGTTTTTCACACAAGTAGAAAATGAGTCGACCTTAGCCACTGTCAACACCAGTGATGCTTACCAGATGGTATTTTGTTTGTACAGGTAAATTGTGATTATAACATAAACATCCCAGAGGGTTATTATTGACATGGTAGTCATCTATCGTGTTATTTCATACGTATGTGTAGCTATAGCCATACTACATGTTATCTGCAGTACCGAAATTGATTATGGGTGGTTTTATAGCACTTTGTCTGCATTTACGTCAGCTGCAAAGTCACACGTCAAACATGGGACGTCACTTAAGGGCTTGTGGGAAAATTGGATTTGATGATACAGTGCTGCACGCTTTCAATATACTTACACATAATGATCGTGTATTCTTCAGTTACACAACTTAGTAATGAATCTAGTTAAACCTGGCTTTCAAAGGCTTTATTTTAAACAAGAAAGTTGACTTGCACTTGTGATGATGAAATAGGTTCATATTATTTACATATCACTTTGGCAGCAGACTTTAAGCACTTAGTCACATTTCATTGCAAAGTTAAGGTAGAGTCAGTTAATTCCCTGCTCTGCATTAGATTTGACAGCTGTCTGATCTCAAAACATATATTTTGACATTTTGCTTCTGTAAGAATGTTTTCCATCCACTATGACACATAGAGCTGCAACATCAAATTAATTTAATTATCATTAAAAAATAATAATGTCTTTGTATAATTTAGTATTGTTTCACACCACATGTTCTTCTGTGTCTTCCGTGGGCCATGAAATGAGAACCACAATTTAAGGGCACATGCAAAAAATGTACGTCTCACCACACTTCATAAAGTTGTGATAGCATTATGTATGAATAAGTTAAAGAAGTTTAGTACTTTCAAAGATGTTGTATATTGGTCTGTTTTGCTTGTACAAGTCTTAACAAGCCAAAAACAAACAGGCAGTCAGCCTGTGATGTTTGCCTCTGCCGTAAATGGAATTTGTTGCCACCACTGAGATTTTCCAATTTTTCAGTTTAAAAGTTTAGGTGCCTTTGCTGTTAAGCATTATAGCCAAAAGCTGACAGAGTGCATTGTTACACCTCCTTTGTGGTTGACTTAATCAAGACATCTTTCATCAAGGGGAAGCTAAAGTTGTTATTTTATGTCATACATAAAGCCTTCTTTGTAGTTTTCACAGTTCTGTTATTTTCACTGCCAGGCTGCGAATGGTCTCTGAACAAATCAGGAATTTGTGTGTATCTGTATTAGAATATTGGCTATTGTTCATGTCACAACCTGCATCTGTATCCTGTTTTAAGGGGTTGTGTGTGTGTCACGTGCAGTTGTAATTACAGTACATTGTATTAAGAGATGTTGGATACTGGATACTGACATTTTACAACGCTATAGTATTATTATTATTACAGTTAGTTGCATCTGTAAAGAAATACTGTCTGTACTTTACAGTACTTGTGGCTTCATGTCAGCACCTTGTGATTATATCCACGGTAAAAATAACCTTTAATCTCATAATACACTTGTGTGGTGTCAGCTGCAGCTTCTTTATAGGACCTGTCAGTCACATTTTGCCAAGATCACAAACGTCACAACGAGGTTGCAAAATTGGGAATAACTTGAATATATTCCTGTAATTATCACCCTGTCACCAGGCAAGAAGTTAATCTGCCAGGCAAAAGTTGTAGGTTTTCACATTGGCTTCATTTAGCCCCAAAGTGGCTACTGAAGCTGGCTTGTTTTACAACTTATTGTCCCTTTTGTGTGTGTGTGTGTGTTTTTTTTTTTTTTTTTTTAACCACAACTATCTCCACATATTACTAGGGTGTGTTTTGGAGTTGCAGACAAAGTATTTTTGATGAGATGAAGAGGATTTCTCAGGTAGATGTGTGTGTGATGTGGGAGAGAGCGCTTACAATAAAGCATGGTGTTAAATAGATGCATGAAGCAGCACTGTGATGACCATCATACGCAGGCAATCATCAAGACTTATTCTTCAGTTAAGAGGCAGCTTCACAAGTACCACCTTTATCTAACATTAGAGACATGCAGTTAAATAATGACCTAGACAAATCTATTGGCTGGTAATAACAAACTGAGAGTTTTGTGCTATAAAACCCAAATTCCTGAAAACCATAATCACATTTAAGGCTGGGTATCATTCAACATATACAACGCAATATCTGAGTTTTGGTACTGGCACCAAAATGATACATTTGTTGAGTATAGAGCTGTTTGCCTACAAAATAATCCAGTGTTAATTTTTTTTTCTGCCAGTTTTTGATACTTAACCTTTTTGATAATTGCTTTAAGTCAGCAAACCTTTTGAGCCTGGCCAGGTACGGTAAGTACTAGACTAATTGGAAAACAAACTACAGGGAGTGTTTAGACAACAAAGTGACTTGCTGCCTTTTGAAACTCTTGTTCTACTTGGAAGACAATTTCCGTTGTGTATTTCACAGTTAAATGAAGCGTGAGTTAGCAATTGCATGGCATGTGTCTTTCAAAGATTTTTAAGAATAAAGATTGTGGATAGTATGGGAGAATCTTGACAACCTGTTTTTCATGCTTTGTAAATGGTAATCAGAGATCAGCAACTGCCCAGGAAGTGGGCTTGTCCAGTCATGTGTAGAAAGGTTTCTTCCTGATGTTTTAGTGAAAGACATTCTTGTCAGCCATGTATTATTTAGCCAACTTGACAAGAGTCTGTCTCAAGCAAATTCCTATTAAACCTTGTTGAACCACAATGACAGAAAAGGAAAAGTGAGCTGCTTTTGCAAGACTGTCATTGTTAGAGATAAGCTCCTGCTGGGACGAAAATACAGCAAAACATTACTGTCTGGTCATTTGTCAAGACCATATCAAGATACAACTGTAGTTACATGGTGTTTTACATGGTATTGCTTTCAGGTAGTTTCAAGGAGAGCAATTCTTGTTCCATGTTTTTAGTCATGACTTAACCAATTGTTGAATTAGTGAATACATACAGTTTTCAATTTAAACAATAATCTCCTCACGATGGTTATGAAAATTTTCTACTCTATTGACAATACACTGCCTAGTTTTCGGGTACATGTACCAACATTTTTCCATATAACACTTTTAGGACAGAGGCTTGAACTCTCAAATGTTAGATTTTATCTTAACACTAGCAGCTTCACAGGAACTTTCCCCTGAATAAAATAATCTAAAATTGGCAACAATTTTTTCTTCTGTCCTGGTGTCCTTCTGATACCCGTGTGTTTCTAATAATGACATTTGCTGCAAAGCTGCACAAATATTCTAACCGTTTTATTCTAACGCTTAGCTTTTCACCAATATACAGTACCAGTCAAAAGTTTGGTACTATGTGGTTAATGACAACGCACAAAATACAGAATGAAAATCCAGAAAATACATCATGCTGACCTTGTTCTGTTTCTCTTGATTTTCAGATACAAAATGCGGCTGAGGAGCCCAGAGTGCTGTGCATAATCCAGGACACCACCAGTGCAAAGACTGTCAATGAGAGGCTGACCCTAAACCTACCTGCTTCCACCACCCTCTCCAGACTTTATGAAGATGTTGCCCACAAAGCAGGATATGTAAATGGCACCTTTGACCTTGCCTGGGGAAATATTCCAGACATGGTTAGCACATTAATTCAATCACTTTTGTTTGTGCCAATTTGTGATTACGGTTTTCCACATAAATATACTCAGCTGTCGGTATAACTGTGTATCTCGGCTGAGTTATCGTCTGTAAGTACCTCGTCAAAACAAAAGGTTAAGTCTAGGTAAAAGTTGTATTTCACCTAACAGGTTGTGGAGGAGGCATGGTAAGCAAAAGGTGTTTCGCTCTATTCAAAAAATTTTTATATTCAAGAACTGCTTAAATGGCTGATGTGTAATTAGAATGAGGCGGGTAGTGATGAACTTCCAGAGAATTATCACCGGACGCTGCATTTCACCTCAGCTGCATGGAGTGGTTTAGTGTCATTCAAATGATTGTTTTGGATTTACGGCCTGCAACGTTGCTATTTTGGTTTAATTTCGCCACTTTCATTAACCTCATTTCCAGCAACAGGTGGCAACTGATTTCAATGAAAAAGCTCTTAAAAACACTAGAGCTGTACCCGAATTTTCTGAATTTTCAGTCAGAGAAAGAAAAAGTATGGGTCCTGGTCATATGTCTGTTATAAAATCCTAGTGCACCATGGTGCGTCTCTCCTGCGTGGCTTCTGACAGCACTGTCAGCCAAAGAGGCAATCACAAGGGATGGCAGCACAGGAAGTTGTACCAGCATCTCGTTCAAAAGTAGTTTAGCCGACGTCGCTGCATTTAGCTCTGGAGGTGAAAGGCCTGGGTTGCCCTGCCCTCTGATTCCATCAACAGAGGGGTTTTAGTTTGGTGTAATTGAGTTCAAGATAATTATTTCAGGTGAACTTCAGGGTACTCATAATGATGGTTTATGTAGCTTATGTTAAGACGCATACAGTAGCCCCTACAACTTTTACATTGGAAGGGTAGTGTCACCATATCATGACCTCAGTGAAGCTGATATTGTATGTTTGAAAGTCAGATGGGGCAAGCAGTTTCTTTTTGAAATACCATTCTTCTCTGCCACAAAGAAAACAAAGCTGTAAGAATGGTATCGCAAAGAAAGAGAAAACTATAGAATGAATGCATTCTTTATGTGCTCTCTTATTGTTGAGTTTGTTTTTTTCTTCTCTGTTTATGTACATACTATTCCCTTTTCTTAAATGAGCCCAGGCTAATCCTGCTGCTGACCCAGGCCAAAGCCCAGGTGCTGTGTCTGTTGTTATCTCACTGAGTAGGTCAGTGGATTAAGCCTCTGCATGTTTCCACTGCAGCACTTTGCTGGCTGTCCTCAGCTTGTCCAGGAGAAAGACAACTACGTAGCGTTGTTCACATGTTGGTTTCAAGCTACTTTCCTCATATGCGTCAATACAGGGAATTCGCTGAGAATGAATTCACTAGGAGTCTAAGCGTCCTTGTAAGTTCATCTGGTTTGTTGTCTGTAAATTACTTGTTTTGAATATTTGCTGCTGTTGTTTTTCGGCATTGTTGACCTCTGTATAAAAGCTGTCTGTTTGTGTGATTGTTGTTTTTACTCTGCTTCCTTTAAGGCACCACTGGACCATAACAGTGAGATGTCCCTCTCAGATTCGGGGTTTGAGCCTGGTGGTAAGAGGAATTTCCTCCAGCTTACAGACAAAGATGGAGAGCAGCCCCAGATGGCATCGGTGAGTGGCACAGAATTAACAAAAGGAGTTCCCAATTTTTTTTTTTTTTTTAAAGAACATCAAACATACATTTTTTGAGTTTTAGGTCTACTACAGATTGACTGTTTTGGAAACTATAGATCTTTTATTAGAAGATTTTTCTCTGTATGCTTGTGTGTGTGCAGGATGAGTCAGGAACAGCAGATAGCAGTGGACTGGATGACAGTTCCCAGGAGCGGTTTATTGGGCCCCTACCGAGAGAAGGCACTGCAGGCTGCAGTGGCGACTACAGTAGTCCATCTTACTCCTACTCGTCCATCCTCAACAAATCTGAGACAGGTACGTTTTAGTCAACTGTTGAATATGCGGCATCACTTCTTTTATACAATCCCAACTGACCTTTTACTTCTTGTCTTTTACCCCCACTGTAGGTTATGTGGGCTTGGTGAACCAGGCTATGACCTGTTATTTGAACAGTCTTCTACAAACTCTGTTCATGACCCCGGAGTTCAGAAATGCACTCTACAAGTAAGGAACTATGCTCAGAGAAGTCTTTGAAGTCATTTGAAGTTTTATTTGTGATGTGTAACGTTTAAAATTCTTTTATAACTTCTGTGGAACTACAGCTGGGAGTTTGAGGAGTCAGAGGAAGATCCAGTCACCAGTATCCCCTACCAGCTGCAAAGGCTGTTTGTCCTGCTGCAGACTAGTAAGAAACGGGCAATTGAGACCACTGATGTGACACGGAGCTTTGGCTGGGACAGCAGTGAGGGTGAGTGTTTGTGCTCTCCTGTGACTAGACTCACATGCCTTGTCTGCGTGTTTGTAAAAAGGAGAGACCATGTGCCTCTGCATCTGTACACTAAATTACACTTTTTGTGTATTTGTTTTTAGCCTGGCAGCAGCATGACATCCAGGAGCTGTGCAGGGTCATGTTTGATGCCCTGGAGCAAAAGTGGAAGCAGACAGAGCAGGTAGGAGAAAGCAAAAAGTTTTTCTAGACTTCTGACAACAAAAATTCAGCCGCTAGTCTGAGCCCACCCCCCCCCACAATGGAAACAAAAGACTTACTGTGGGAAAAGTGAAATGGGCCAGTAAGCCCCAGGGTTAGCTGTTTCTTATCTCAGGAGAGAGTTATAAACTGCAAACACTCAGTCCAGTGTGCGTATATACAGCCATGTGGTCTGTACACACGAGCTCCTGGTAAAAATAACATAAATAACAAACTACAACAATGGATTAGTTTACTTTTTGGAAGTCTACAGTAAAAGTGGGGATTTTAAAGTTTAAAATGTGGATAAACTGGTTATAGTAGAACCGTTTTATCCAACGCCAGATGACGTGAGGATTTAACATTACTTCAACCTTCAGTCTAGAATTTAGATATGCATAAATTGATTACATTTAGTCTGTGAAAACAGTTGTTCTGTTGAGCCTCGGGCCATTGTACAGTGGTTTTCACATTAGCACTCCCCGTGACTAGTGAACTGACGACGTTTAAAATCATTGGAGATCCCTTTAAATGCTAACATAGCATGTTACTATGCTAACTGTGTATATACAGCTGTATGCAAAAGTTCAAAATGATTGTTTCCCATGCAATCCAACCAAGAATAGAGGGAAGAATGGATTACACTAAATATCAGAAAGTTTTGGATGCACATGTCCTGCAGTCAGTAAAGAAAGTGAAACTGAAAAGAGTCTGGCTTCTACAACAGGACAATTGTCAAAAGCAGGCCTCAATATCCACGATAAACTCTTTCAGGAAACACAGGCTGAAGCTTTGATAACGGCCCTCGCAGTCCCCTGACTTGAGCAGCATTGAGAATCTGTGGGTAGATCTAAAGGAAGGGTTATTAAATACCACTTTAAGTAAAACTTTGGAAACCGACTTTTTAAGTTCATGAAATAAAAAGTAGCACTGTATTAATTAGATTGTCTGTCTTGAAAGTTACAAAAATTATTCAACACAGCCCGCCTGAGGACTCACTCAATACTCAATGTAACATGATGAAGGTCAACATGTTAACATTGAGTGCTAAAATAAACAGTTCAAAGTTCAAACACCTGAGGCTGACAGATTACAGTTGAGACTGATGGAAGTTGAGCTGACATCACAGAGCTGATCCTGGTGAACTGAGTTTGAGATATCCTAAAAATGGCCACTGTACAAAAGATAATCCCTTCCGATTATGATAACAACATGGCATTGTCTTCCATTAGACCAAATTTTTGATTGTTTTACCCCACTAGTGATAAGAATCTAAAAATGGCAAAGCTGATTTTAATCTATTTCATTTATCTATGTTTAATCCACCTAACACTCCTGTCACACAGTGATAAGTCCACGCTGGTGCCTCCTTTAGTAAGAAATGGTCTCAGGGAGAGAAAATCTTGTAGCCTAAACAAAAGCTGTATTGTTACAAGTGAGACATAGTTGAGGAAGCCTGACTGTCATGCTTTCCTGTCCTCAGGCTGACCTGATCAACCAGCTGTACCAGGGGAAGCTGAAGGATTATGTCCGTTGTCTGGAGTGTGGCTATGAGAGTTGGAGGATTGATACTTACCTGGACATCCCTCTTGTGATCAGACCCTTCGGAGCCAGCCAAGCCTATGGCAGTGTGGTGTGTTTTCTCTCTACATTTCATTTGGTTTATGACCATTTAGTATTTAGGCCTTCCTTTTTAAATGTAACTGAAACTATACATTTTTTGTGCCACAGGAGGAGGCTTTGCAGGCGTTCATCCAACCAGAAACTCTGGATGGGCCCAACCAGTACTTCTGTGAGCGCTGCAAAAAGAAATGTGACGCCCGGAAGGTGAGTGAAAATGTGACATGGGAGTCATGTTCAGAGAATACAGTGTTCTGTTATTGACCTGGCTGATCCTCTGATAAACGCTTCTCTGCACAGGGTCTGAGATTTCTGCACTTTCCCTACCTGCTGACACTACAGCTGAAGCGGTTTGATTTTGACTACACCACTATGCATCGCATCAAACTAAATGACCGCATGACTTTCCCTGAGGAGCTTGACATGAGTCCATTCATTGATGTGGAAGATGAGGTGAGAGCAGAAATGGCAGTACCTGCTTTCATCACTATTTCAGATTTATATTAGATTAATAGATCTTTAGAGTAATGAACATTGTGTGGGTTAACCCAGATATTTTCCCTTCTATCTCTTCACTGTCAACTATGAGCTGTGGGTAAAAGTAAAACGTGTCACACACTCCACTTGTATGTGTGTTTTTTTTATTTTTTTTTTTATTATTATGATGTTATGTAATCCACCGGGTGCGGAAGTTCTTCAATGTTAAATCCACTACTGTGCTTCCTCCAGGAATATATAACATTCAGGTTACCTCTGGGTAAATGTTTTTTAACTTCTCTATACCAGCATATCTAGTAGTGATTGAACAACACATGATACGCCTGGATAAATCTACTTTTGGATCTTGTAGTGACCTTTTAGGCCATAAAAGTAACATCTGATTTGTTACGCTTGTATTTTGTTTTGTTTTTTTACTGTTGAGATGTTACCATGTGGAAAGAATATATGTAGCTGGAGTATGTGACATATTTTGCTCCAAAAGCCTCTCACAATATATATATCATATAAATTATAGTTGACCACTGTGGACGGTTTTTAAACCCTTGTCTATTGTTGTTTTTGAAATTGAATAGAAGTCGCCTCAGACAGAGAGCTGCACTGACAGTGGAGCGGAGAATGAAGGCAGTTGCCACAGCGACCAGATGAGCAATGATTTTTCCACTGATGATTGTGTGGATGAGGGCATCTGCTTGGACAGCACCGGCAGCACAGAGAGGGTGTTGAAGCCAAAGGTGATCATCTTGACCGCTCACTGTATAGATAGTGTTGATTGTTGTTACTCTCCTTGGTTCGTTCACTGTTTGCAAAAATGCATTTGACCAACACAAGTTACAGACGGGGCAAAATAAAGAAAAACCTGAATAAAAGAGTGAGGGAACATTGTGGATGCAGATGTTATCATACTGCACATGAGGGGTTGTTGAATGATGAGCTGTTCTGGAGGCTCATCGTTTTTTTGTTTTTTGTTTTTCTTTATGTTGTGTCCCATCTTTAGTTTCCATCCTTTCAATGATATTGAGCAACTGTCTGCTGGCAGAGACAGCTGTAAAGTGATGCTTGTTACATGAGATGTCTTTCTTTCATTCATAATGTGTACTGTACTTTCCAGATGATGACCTAGCAAACACTTTGTGGGTCATGGTCATTGTGTTACGTAAAACTGAATGCCAAACTGTGTCTTTTCTCAGTGAATGTTTTCCACATTTGTACAGTCAGTGTTGCTAATTTCACATTAACCTAGCTCTGCAAATACAGCAAATCTTGAGCTTTATATTTTGCCATTGCCATTGCCAGCATCTTTTACCCTTCATGTTGAACACCAAAGCAATACACCTTGGTTGTTGCTTTTATCTGAACAGTACGATTTTCCCCCATGTAATTCTCAGAGTTTGCTGACCTTTGAGCTGTTCTCTGTCATGGTCCATTCTGGGAGCGCTGCGGGTGGCCACTACTACGCCTGCATCAAATCCTTCAGTGATGGCCAGTGGTACAGTTTCAACGATCAGCACGTGAGCAAGGTCAGCCTCAGCCCTTGAGTAACCGGTTTTGTCCTCGTACAGGACTTAAATGTCAGGCAGAATGACTCACCAGACTATTATCAGTGCTAGTCATCAGTTTGTACTCTTACTAATCTAAGCAAACATTGTCCCTGTCACTTTAACATTTTACTTATTAACATTGTAAGATCTGTCAGATCTGTCAGAATCATTGTCAGTAACTTTCTGTGTATTTCTTTTGGGCAGATCACCCAGGATGATATCAGGAAGACATATGGGGGGTCCTCAGGGAGCAGAGGCTATTATTCCAGTGCCTTTGCAAGGTCAGTGGTCTCTCATATCTGTCTTCAACATTCAGTGGGTTGACACACATCACATGCTTACAGTACATTGGTTAAGGGAATAGAATAGTAATGAACCGGAACCTGTTATTTACATCTGTGTTCAAAGGGGAAACTTGTTTATTCTTGTTCATTGTACTTTGAATAGGCAGCTACTCTTAGGACTGAAAAAACAATATCCTCTCTATATATATATTCCATTACATTCATTAACAAGACACTTTTTTCTCCCAACAGCTCTACAAATGCATATATGCTGATTTATAGATTGAAAGATCCCTCAAGGAATGCAAGTAAGAAATTCATTCAGTTAAGTCTGACGTGGATAATGACAAAATTACTGAGATACCAACACAAACATGATGCTCAGTTTCTGTCAGTTTTCTGTATGTTTTCGTCAAACAAGTTTCCTGTCTTCATTAGGCTACAGTTTGAATTCATTAAATATTTTGGAGCGGATCACTGTTGACTTGGGTTTTCCAAGCAAACAGATGCACGTGAATAAATATCAATTTACATTTATTGATTATTGACATTAATTAAGCATCTTCTGATCTCTGCTGTACATCAAAAGAGGCTCCAGTCCAGTGTCATTCATGGACAGATATCATTTACAGACACTAGGTACAGCCTGCAGTCCACCTTAACCAAGGGTATTTTTTCTTTATGGTATGAGTGTTAGTAGCTTGCCAGAGGCATTGCATTGTATTTTTCTCGAAAAAAAAAAAAAACATATCTTGGGTTTAGTGTTTTATGGGACATCATTCAGTGCCATTATGTTGGTTGTGGTTATCCTCTCCGAGTCCTTATACTCTGTGATAAAGTAGATTGAGCTCTTGTCCTTTTAATGTGATTTACTAATGTACTCTGCAGAGTATTTAGCTGTGGACGACTTCCCGGAGCACATAAAGAGTTTGGTTCAGAAGGAGAAAGAGTCTGAAGAACAGGAAAAAAGACAAAGGGAGATTGAACGGAATACCTGCAAGGTGTGTGGTCCTTTGGCTCGGCTTTGGCTTTTTCTAAATAAGTTGAACTTTTCTTAATCTTGCGCTCTTTACTTTCAGATCAAGCTTTTCTGCATGCATCCCGTAAAGATGATGATGGAGAGCAAGCTGGAAGTGCACAAGGACAAAACTCTCAGAGAAGCAACAGAGATGGCCTACAAGGTTTGTTGGGTTACTGGTTTCTCTTCGCCATCTGGTTTTCCAAAAACATAGCTAATCGGGTCAGCAAATAATTAATTATTGAATATTGGAGTGTCCTTAAATTCTTTACAAAGGGGACTTAGAACAACTTCTTGCAACCACTGTCCCACACAAGAATAGTGTAACTGACAAAAGCATTGTAAGTGTAACACTGACACGTCTTGTAATGTTAAGACTAAATTTTCAGTTTACAATATTAAGCAAAAATATTCCTAGTTCTGGGCAAAGTCTATTTTTATAAAGTGCCTTACTATACTTGGATCACTGTTGTGGTTATTTGTGTATTCTGTACCTCAGCTGATGGAGCTGGAGGGTGTCGTCCCTTTGGACTGTTGTCGCTTGGTCAAGTATGACGAGTTCCACGAGTACCTGGAGCGCTCCTATGAAGGTGAGGAGGACACACTGATGGGTCTCCTGCTGGGAGGAGTCAAGTCCTCGTACATGTTCGACTTGCTGCTAGAGACCCGCCGGCCAGAGCAAGTGTTCCAGCCTTACAAACCTGGAGGTCAGTAGTCTGCTACTGTTGAGTCAGACTTTTCAGTTAGGAATGTCTGAAAAAGTGATTGAGGTAATTATCTTGCTTTACATAGTGTTGTACTTGGTGCTGCACAGGTAATTGTGTGCAATCACTTTTCAAAAATGATTGAAGCCCGTGTGGCATGACCATGTAGACTCTGATGGTTGGTGTGATGGATGTAAATGTTCTGAAAACCAAGCAAAATAACTGCTATATGTCTGTACGGGTGTGTTTCTGATTTTTCTACAGAGGTGATGGTGAAGGTTCATGTTGTGGATCTGAAGAGTGAGACCATCGCCTCTCCAATCAGTGTTCGGGCGTACCTGAACCAGACGATCACTGAATTCAAACAGCTTATTGCACAGGTTTTCTACTCTACCCAGTTTCTTCACTGTATCTTCTTTTGCTTGTCCTCCTCTTTTCTCTTTCCCGCCTCCATTTTAAACATGAACACAGAAAATTGTGTAAACTAGATTGAGTGATGTATGTGTGTGTGTCCCCCCCCCCCAGGCTACAGGGTTATCTGCAGAAACCATGCGTGTGGTCCTGGAGCGCTGCTACAATGACCTTCGGCTCCTCTATGTTCCAAACAAGACACTGAAAGCTGAGGGATTCTTCAGGAGTAACAAGGTCTCTTTGTTTTCTTTCAATTCTGACTTTTGTGATTCTGTCCAAAAAAAATTTAGCTGTCAGAGAATTGACTATTGGTACACTATTAACATTAAATTAAAATTTCATCTGTTTTGTTTTTGTTCTTTATCAGGTGTTTGTAGAGAGCTCTGAGTCGACTGATCATCAGGTTGCTTTCACAGACTCAGTCTTGTGGAAACTGTTGGACCGTCACGGGAATACGATCCGACTCTTGGTCTTACTGCCTGAACAGTCTCCTGGTACCTTGGCCAACAGAACTCTTTGCCAAAAAGTGGGAGGTGACTCTGATGTGCCCTTTGATGGAGCAAAGGGTAACAGGAAATCCGTAGAAGCTATACTCGAGGAGAGCACAGAAAAGTTAAAGAATCTGTCTCTGCAGCAGCAACAGCAGGGCTCCAGCACCAGCACCAGCGACAGCCAGAAAAGTTCTGATGCCAGCGACTTTGAACATATCGAGTCCCCAACCCAAGAGGCTGACTCAAACTCTTCACTCTGCATGGCCGCAGACAACAGAGAGTTAGAGAACCGGATCAGGGCCACAGCTGGGACCAGCGGTGGGGCCTCCTCTGACCCGGAGAACCACTTTGCCTGTGAGGAGCGCTCAGACTCTGAGGTGAACAATGACCGCAGCACCAGCTCAGTGGACAGCGACATCCTCAGCTCCAGCCACAGTAGTGACACACTGTGTAACGCAGACAGCGGTCCCATACAGCTGGCCAACGGCCTGGACTCGCACAGCATCACAAGTAGCCGACGCTCCAAAGCCCATGAGGGCAAAAAAGAGACCTGGGACACTGCTGAAGAGGACTCTGGAACAGACAGCGAGTACGACGACAATGGGAAGAGCAAGGCGGAGGCTCAGTACCTGTACTTCAGAGCAGAACCTTGTTCTCAGGATGACTCCTCTTGGGATGCACAAAAATGTACGTCTTTTATTAATGATGCAGTGTGAAGGATTTTCAAAATTAAATTATGTTTAAATGATATTTTCAACTTTAATCAAGACAGGTAGAATGACAATGTTTTCTTGTAGAACCCCCTCCTACAATTAAAACCATGCATTATTGTTCCTTATTAGAGAAAAAAGAGGCAAAGTGACCGACATATTCAATAGATGTTTTTCCTCATTTTATAAACAAAATGTTTAATTGTTGTTTTCTTGTGGTCTGCTTCAGGTTTAGTAGTTCATGTGGACAAGAGAATAACATTAGCAGCATTTAAACAGAACCTGGAGCCCTATGTAGGAGTGACCTCGACCCAGTTCAAGGTGTTTCGGGTGTACGCCAACAACCAGGAGTTTGAGAGTGTACGGCTCAATGAAACACTTTCATCGTTCTCTGACGACAACAAGGTCAGTATAAATATTCAGCATTTCTTTATTTGATTTTGGTAGTCTGCCTGAAAGTGACCTAATACTTGAACTAACACTTAACTTTTAATTTTCCATAGATAACCATTCGACTAGGAAGAGCACTGAAGAAGGGTGAATACAGAGTTAAAGTGTATCAACTACTAGTGAATGAACCAGAGGTAAAAACTGAATTAATATTCTGTCACAGTGATCTACAGGACTTTGGTTAAAATGACCTGACTATGTCAGAAATATAATAATGCAGTCACTAGGTTTTCTTGATATTTATCTATTTACTTATTTATTTTTTCAGCCCTGCAAATTCCTAGTGGACACGGTGTTTGCCAAGGGCATGACTGTCAGACAGTCAAAAGAGGAGCTGCTTCCTCAGTTGAAAGAGCAGTGCAAGCTTGACCTCAGCATTGACAGGTATGATAATAAAATAAATCACAAATCTGAGTACATGACATTCATCTTCAAATAAAATTTAGATGTATATAAAACAATTTATTACTGACATAGACATATAGACATCATAGAGGATCATGTAAATCCTTAGTTAAGTGGCTACAACTGTATGTGTGTTTAAAAGTATAAGTATAAATTACATATATATATATATATAGTACAAACTATATAATGTGTGTGTGTTCAGGGTTCGTCTCAGGAAAAAGACATGGAAGAACCCAGGCACAGTGTTTCTGGATTACCATGTCTATGAGGAAGACATCAGCATCTCCTCCAACTGGGAAGTCTTCCTGGAAGTCCTAAATGGTAACACTTGATGTTTCTTTGAAACAACAATGGTTATTGTTAAAATAACTAAAGCTGTATTGCCAATAACTCCTATGTTACATTTTAACTACTTGCAATAAAATCACTCAAATCCAGAGTTCAAAGGGTTAAATTATCTATTGCCTCTAACGACTCAAGGCAATATCACAGTGATGAAATCAATGTCATTTTTGTTTTTCTTTTGTAAACCTAAAGCCATTAAACTGCAAATGCCAGCAGATAAATGTAGTGCTGGAAATTGCACCCAGAGCAAAATGCACGAAGGTGCATTTCACTTCTTCCATTGCCTGCTGAAGTTTCAGGATGTACAGTACAGTTACTGCGGAACTTGATCCATGTTCCTCTTATCTGTTTCTCAGAACCAGAGAAGATGAAGTCCATGTCGCAGCTGGCTATTCTGACACGGAGATGGAGCCCGGCTACAATGAAACTAGGGCCTTTTCAGGAAGTGATTCTTGAGAGCAGCAGTGTAGAAGAACTCAAGGAGAAGGTATGTCAGGTGACAACTTTAAACACTATTCACTCTGAGTGATATTTATGGCAATTTGTGACTGATTTCTTTTTTTTTTTTTTTTTGTAGCTTAGTGAAATGAGTGGTATTCCTCTTGAAAACCTGGAGTTTGCAAAGGTATGTGGATTCCATTACCTCAAGCAGGGCCTCATTTTCTTCATATTGTATTGCTTGACTTGTAAGCCTTCTGTCTGCTGTGTGCAGGGTAGGGGAACGTTTCCTTGTGATATTTCTGTGTTGGAGATCCATCAGGACTTGGACTGGAACCCTAAGGTGTCAACTCTTAATGTGTGGCCTCTGTACATCTGTGATGATGGAGCTGTGGTATTCTACAGGTAAAGGAAAATTCAGAACAAAGAATGTCCACATTCAAACACAGATTTATGTTTCTGTCTTCTCAGAGTTTTGGCCAAATTATTTGGCACACACACAGGATTATAGTTGAGTAGTCTTGGCCATAATATGTCATAAATGGTGTTGGACTATGAATACCTCCTTGTGATTATTCATTTGATCTTATTGTTTTGGGGTTTAGGCATGTGCCAGTATGAAACTTTAATAGTAAGCTTGTTGTGCTGCAAGGTGTCTCCGTGTACACATTAGTATTATGAATTAATTACAGTTCTGCCAAAATAATGCATTTTATTTTTAAAGATGCAAGTGTTTGAAATTATTTGAAAGTAAACTACAGAAGAAATGTAATGACACAGAAGGTAGTGTCAAAATTCAGTTACTTTTGCAGCATAATAAATGCTGTGCATACCACCATGTTGCGTTTTGTGACATAAGAGGGGTTCAGTTGTTGGGATCATGATATTAATAAGATGTGAAACTACTGTATAACTATGTGCCTGTGCTGTGTTAGATTCCAGCCGCCAGAATTTTTTTTTGTATCTGTAACTTAAAAGATGAAGTCCACAGATGTCACCTCACTGAACTGCAGCACAACCTCTTAGTATATTAAATGTTAAATATTTGTGACTTGAGATCAACATAACTGTGATCTTTGTCCGTGCAGGGATAGTACAGAGGAGCCTATGGAGCTCTCGGACGATGAGCGCAATGAGCTGATGAAAAAGGAGAGCAGCCGTCTGCTCAAGACTGGACACCGTGTCAGCTACTCACCACGCAAGGAGAAAGCCCTCAAGATCTACCTGGACGGAGGCCCTGCCAAGGACCCGGGGCAGGACTGAGGCACAGAGAACCACTCCTGGTTATTTGGATCATCTGGCTGCTGTAGCATAGCAGCTAGGCTTCAGGTCTCAGTCTCAGTGTTGGGCCTGATAGTGACTTGAACATCAAGCAGCGCTGTGAGACGTGCTCTCACCCTCCACTCTGAGCCCCAGGACTGGCTCAGAAACCCTATTGTGCACTATAGTGTATTGTACTGTAAAGTTTAAAGGGAAGTACAAAAGCTATTCAATACAGAAAAGAATCAAATACTGTGTAGAAAAATCAATTGAACGTAAAAGCTCCAGAGATGGATGCAGAGATGTTAGGACCGTGAAACTGGGCTGGAAGGCATCCATCCCGTCTATTTAAGTCTCCCGTCTTATCTACATCAGTCTCTTTCACTCTCCTGCCTGTCACTGCGTGTTTCTCTTCCTGTTTTGGACATAGTGTCGATTCTGATTCAAGTGTGACCATCTTGTAAGTCCATATGCTCACACCTTTTTCAGCACTGCTCTATTAGAGAAATCATTCTTATCTTACATTGCTCACCTTCCTTTAACAGTACATACAACCAAGAACTACTTATCCAGCCTTCCCCAGTCTCACCTCTTCTGGCGAGATAAACCTCACTCTCTCAGTGACTTTGACAAACTGAGGCGTCGTTCATTCACAAGATTTGATGACTCAAAAAAAAAAAGCAACAATTAAGAATTTGTAAACTGGAGGTTGTTTCTGCTCCTCTAATGCTCCTATAATGCCAGAGTAATGTGTTATCATGGGTTGTCCTTACTGCTGCTCTTTGTGCTTTATAGGAGCTTTGCCTCTGTTACATCATTTCCACTAGATTTAGTGAGACATAGGCTATTGGTCCTTTAAATACAAAGTACAATGAAACAAAACCAAGTAGACTATGTTAAGAATCTCCTTGATTTGTTTTTGTTTGTTGTAAATTATTATTTTGCTCCAGACTTGATCATTCAATTAGGTCTCATGAGGCACCAGGCACACATCTGTGGTCCGTATTAACCTTTTAATTTAGAAAGTGGATTTTTTTGTCTGTTTTTTGCACCATGTGAACCGGGTGTACATCTCTGGTGTCATCCGCATGTGTGTGTGTGGTGTTGTACTGAGGGGAGGGAGCTCTCTGGGTTTTTGACAGTGTGTGAGGTTGTTTTTGGCGCTTCTACCTGCTGCTGCTGCTGCTTGATAGACTGACACCAGAGGGTGTAGAAAGCCCGCTGGACTTCTCAGTCTGCCTGGGCAACTGCTCTGAGGACTGAAGCTCAGCATCCTGGCCCGCCTGGGCTCCTGATGCTGTCACCAGCTATTCACTGTAGAAATGCCAATATCTGAAGAAATTCTTTTTTTTTTTCTTTTTTTTTTGTTGTTGATGTTTATTTCTTTGAGATTTAAATCCTGTGTGAAAATAGTTTAAGATGATTTTAGAAATTAAAATGCATTTTTTCATAACAGGTTTCTGTTACTGTAAATTAAAATGGCTTAAATTAATTAACTTTATGTTAAAATTATATGACAAATACTAATAATTTTCAAGAGTAAGTGTTCTGGTGTTTACAAAAACATTTTTTTAAATAGTTGTACAAGCTTAAGAACAGACATTAAACTTTACAGTTGTAGCTGTTGGAGCAACTGTAACAGTAACAGTGACAAATTAAAGGAAAAGCCAACATAAAGTTTTTTAGTGAGGTGTTGGGCCACCACATGCTGCCAGAACAGCCTCAGTGCTCCTTGGCATTAATTCTAGTCTCTGAACCCTACATGAGGGATGGAAGCCGTTCTCTCAAATGATATTCCCTCATATGGTGGTTTGATGATGGAGGAAGAAAGCGCTGGTGAACACCAAAATTTTCCAATAGGTATTCGACTACATTGAGATGTGACTTTGAAGGCCTTTTGAATATGATTCACATCCTTTTCATACTCATCTAATGATTCAGTGACCCCTCATGCCCTGTGGATAGGGGCGTTGTCATCCTATTCCTCCACTAATTTTTCAGGTTTTTCCTTTAATTTGTCACCTGTATTCACACATCAGGTGTGGTTTGTATTAGTGTCACAACGTTCAGCCCTTTTATTGAAATGGTAAGTCACATTGCCGTACATAGATCAGATGTTGGGTGTTGTGAGGGGACTGACAATGTTTTAAAAAGTAATGTTTAGGACGACAGAAGTGTGTAACATAAGCTGGAGGGGCAGGTGTGGACAGCAGCTATAGACAGTTGGGGACAAAGCTGCAGTCTCAATTTAGTAATGGGGAAATGTTTCATTAAATTTAATATTTTTAGTAATGTTTAAGGCTACACTAGAACTATAAATGTTATGTAGGTGTACCATGCCATTTATAAATGCTGATACAGGATTTGTTAAATTCTCAAACAAGCTCCAGGTCTTTTGATCGGTGTAAGTTTTACCCGCTTTGTTACTATTATTTCAGTTCTATTGACATTTTCCTGTCTCCCCTGTTAGTTATTTCTCATTAGTACATAGAGTGTAGTGACTTCATATCATTGAAATTATAGTTCCATCCAACTTCCACCAAACAGTATTCAGCCAGGGTAACACATCCCTGTGTGAGTGTGCAAGGCTAGAGCAAATGTTTTCATGTAGCACCACGGTCATGGGGGATGTTCACATACTTAGAGGTCATTTGAAACTCGATGATACTAATATGCACAATGTCATGATTCAGCGGTCACAGGAGGGCAGGTTTAGTCAGAAGAAGAAAAACAAAACAGCAAAAAATGATCCTTCGGGCCCTTTTGAGCCCAGTTTTTGGTACTTTAATAAGTGAAACAGGATTTTACCCCGAGTTATAAGTTAATTAAGTACAACTGTACAGTCTAATGCATTTGCATATGAATATGAGGTACTGCTTGACAGACAACAGTGGATTACTGAAATAAAGTGATACAGAATTAAGTTCATATATAAAAGAAAAGACACATTACATAATAAATATATACACATACAGACAATATGGAGAGAATAAATCACACCATGGCATGTTGGACAGTGTTTCCTCTTGTTAAACATACAATAACATGTCATCTCTGAGCCATAAAAATTTTGAGGCTTAGGTCTTGGCAAAAACATACAGTACTTTCGTGAAACATAGAGCATCATGAAGGTGTTTCTAGGCAGCAAGGCAGTTTTTGGAGGATCAAGCAGCGAGGGTCGCCAAATGCTTTCTCAGAAATAACGGGGAAAGTGCAGAGAAAAAATAAAGCTTAACAACAAGCAGCCAGAATAATATTTACTCGGAAACAACTTTGAAGTTTCATCAGACATGTAAAAGGAGGAAAGCGTTGGCGTCCTGTAGATGAATCTAGATATAATTTTAAGGTGAGTGATTCTTGGATGCTTCTGTGATATGGTTTTACTGGGTTATACGGTACATGAAACATGACTGTACCTCCTTCTTTTTCTTTCTAGTGCACAGTAAATGGAGTGAGACTGGAAATTCAGTGGTTCAAAGGTAACGTTCTTCTTTGTTCTATTTTGGTCTCAGTTTGTCAGGATGATGCTGCCACTCTGAGTGATGACAATGCAATGCAGGTGACATTACAAATTTAAACAGTGAGTACTTACGGCTGGGATTAGCATTAGATTTAAGGGTTTAAGTTGCAGTAAAATATAGAGATGCAGCAAATAGTTAAGAAACCAGTGTTTAGTATCAACACAGGAATTTGCAAATATATATATATGTTTCCTGTTTTTTTTTAGTGACTTTGATATCTACATTTTCAGAAACCTTAGGTCTCATTTACGGCAAATCAATATATTTTCATCCATTTTCCATGCTTTATAGCTTTATCACTTTGGATTAAGCTGGTAAACAGAAAGTGCTATAACCTTGCAGCAAAGCTCTAGAGTCCATCGAGACCCCAGTCTGGTTGTTTCCGAGGCAATGTGAATCAAATCAAGCTGCGTCTAGATTATATAGTCTATCTCAGAGTAGAGCGTGTCTGTCAGGTCCTCTTCGCTTGAGTCCTCTCCTTTAAGGCACATGGACCCTCTCCTGTCAAAAAGGAGAGCACCATGGTGTAGTATCAGGGATAAACGTTAGCGAGTGAAATGCATGTATAGCTTTAAAAATCTGGATTTATTTTTGACATAATCTTTCACTCAAAAAAAACAAAACAAAAACAAATACATTTTGCTCTATTAAATGTACTGCACTCACCCTAGGTGCTGGCAGTGGAGATCCCCTGCACAGGGGCAATGTTTCCTGGGTCCTTTGTCCTGAACGTCCCAGGACAACATCTCTACCAGGTGGTTGGAGGTACCAAAGCAGCGCTCGCGCTCAATGGGTTTGGCCAAGCAGACAGGGAAGAGCAGGGCTGGACACACAAAGAAAATACACAGATTTCTGAGAAAATGAGTAAGCAGCATATAGTGTACTGTGTGCGCTGTACTATACCTTTATGGAAAGCACAGCAGAGCTCTGGGCTACAGTCAGTCTGGTATTGACAAGTGCTGCCAGCTTCTCCTTTTGTTGCATTTTGACTGCACTGACCCCACACACACAGCTGTTCCCCACAGCACTCCTCATCTTTAGTGCAGGACTGAAAGGACAGAGGAAATGGTTTTCGTAATACAGCAAACAGCCAACATTTCACAAACTTCAAATTCTTTTGATAACATTAAAATGAAAACATAACATGTACCGTCAGTTTAAGAAGCATCAAAGACACTAATGATTCTCTGAGTGTGAAGTATTTCGGGTTAACTGGTCTCTGATAGCACAGAGAGAATTTCCTGTTCCTACATATCCTTTATGAATTGTTAATTAAGGGGTACAGCAAACTGGTTACTTCCATGCAGAATTTTCCTGTGCACTGCTTTTGACAAGACACAGATCCTGTCCTCTGTGTATTTATTATCCCTGCACTGTACCCTTGTGTGGCAGGCTGCCAGCATATTATCTCTTTGCATTACTTTTTAGTGTGCTGCCCCAATTCATCCACTGAGGACACGACAGAAACGGCACTAAAAACTTGAGTCTTAAATAAAATGATTTAACCTTGGCACGTGCTGTCCCTTCATGTGAAGCTCACAGGACAGTGTTCACAAACAACTCACTCCAGTTACACTTGTGGACACACTGCAATGCAGTTGAAGTGAAACCCCAGCTGCTGGTGACTGGAAACGTGTGTGTTTGTGTATGTGAAGGTGCCCATATAAAGGTAACTTGGTTTCACTTACCACATCGATTGCTTTGCAAGGCAGACACTTGGAGTCGTGCAAGACATAAAGACAATACCTTCCCTTCCCACAGTCCTTGTCAGTGATGCATCCCTAAAGACAAGAGAGAGGATGGATTACATCAGAGTGTATCAGCCTTTTCCAACTCCATGCTTTGGGCCCATAATTCTCAGGGCACCAGTAATCACAGAGCTGTCAGGTTAGCATGTGAAATAAGGATGGCATAATTTACATTTTATAGAACATCAGTGAGCTGTTGATGGTCATATTACATATACAAATGATGCAATATGCCAAATGTTTATATATATATATATAAAAAAAATAAGTCAAACTAATCTCAATATATCAGTCTTATAAATCTTTTAATCTGGACCAATTTGTAAATCATGTGACCTTACATGGGATTCAAACTGGTTTGTCCAGAGTGCAAAATAAAGAAGTAAATAAATGAAGCTTCTAGGTTGCATAAGCATCTTTGCAGCTATTTAGGCAGGCAGAAAAGCTGCAACATATTTATGAAGAAAGAGGTGCCTCCTCCAGTTTTATTTTTACCTCTTGTAACTAGCACAGACTCTCGTCCCAGAGATACCATGTAAACAATAATTCACCTCTCCTGTGTCTCTGTAATGTGTCTAAACATTGAACGGACTCTATTCTGCCATCACAAAATTTTTTTAAAAATTCAAAGGTCAAATGAAAAACGAGAGTTCTGTTTAAAGAATGCATTTTCTATTGGACTAGATATATAATACATGTATGAACTTACATGATCAATGCCGTTTCCCAAGTCACTGGATTGGACAGTTGTGGTGCTTATGTTGTTTGTCTCCTGTGTGTGTGTGGGTGGGGGGAGACATCTGTTAAATTTCATTCACAAAGGGAAACAAACACTATCTTACTTTTGTTTCCTGTTTACAAGCCTACCTGGTCTACTGAGGTGTGGACAGAGTCATTATCAGTCACTTTATCAGAAGCAGTTTCATTGTGATGACCTGGAGGAAGGTCATTGGGGTTAGGGCTGAGACTCACACTCTTGTTGTTCCTCTAGAAGGATTGGAGAGATAATCACACATAGATCTCAGCTAAAGAGATGCATTAAGAGGCAACTCCCATATTCTAGCTCATTCCACTGCTCTCTCTGCCACAAGATATATTTTTTTTAATATATCTGCAGGGATGCAAGTGCTTTAAAATATTCTCGCAATACCAACTTATTAAGGCTGTTATCAGCAGTGAGCAGTGAAATAATGCTATATCATGTAAGAAAAAAAAAGAAAAAAAGCTAAACTGAAAGATACAACTAGCTGCCTACTTGGTGAAACGCATCCCCAGGCTTTTGCTGCGGATCCTCTGGCAGTTGCTCCACTTCCACAAACATGCGGTCCAGCTCCGACTCTCCCTGGTCGGATTTATCCTCCAGTATGTGACTGATACCTGAGTCCACTATCTCGGGGAGGATGCCATTGCAGACTGCAGTGAGAGCCAAGACTAGCAGAACGACCCGCATCATGCTGGTCATGGTGCTGCTTGGTGCTGCTGCTCCTGCTGCTGCTGCTGCTGCACTCTGAGGAGGGTGTGGTGTGGCGGTGATGCTAAACACCCAACAGCGTCACCACAGCTCATACGCCTCCATCCCTGCGGGGTCATCACCTCACACATGGAAATTTCCCGCTTAAACTGGAAAAAAAAAAATTAATTCGTTCACTTCTGCATAATTATTGCTTATCTCTTAAATGACTCGCAGGTGTTCCATAAACTTAGTCAGGATACCTCAAACATAGTTCAAGTCTAACTACCGCTCTGTGTGTGTTGTTTGGCTATGGATGTAGATGCCAGGAAACAGGCAACCTTCGGGAACGTTCCCTAAAGGTTCTAGAATGTTCTAGCAACGTTCGCTAACGGTTAAATGTTTACAACCTTTAGCGAACGTTTCTACCAACATAACTATCCAAAAACGTTCCAGGAACGTTCGCCAAAGGTTATTTTTTGTGGAAACTTCAGAGAACCTTGACGGTTCCCTAAATTTGTTCTCTGAAGGTTCTACAAACAGAACCTTCCAGAGACGTCCCAGGAATGTTCGGTAAAATTTCCTGGGTCACAAAAGTAAAACAATTATGTTGCAATACATCATATACACTTATGACACAGTTCTCCCTGTCTTGGAGGTTGTCCTGGCTGGAAAACCGGAAGCGGCTGCTCGGTCCCTTGGATGACTGCATGACCCAGATGATCACCATGAACTATCCCTGCCAGCATCAATACCAACACCAGCTGTTTAGACATTTGTTTTGTTTATTATTCTCTGTCCTCAGTATTCACGGGTTTAGTTCCTTGCATTTAGTTGATAGGTGATTGTAGTAACATTCTATAAGAACAGAATTTTTAAATAGTAAATTGTGATTAAGTGATGGATCAAATTCAGCACAGTCACCACCTTCAGAGGTGCAAATATTTACCAATTCAACATCAAAACAGTGTTCAGTCGGAAACAGCTGGAACTGGTCAACCAGAAGTTCACCCAGGAGCAGAATGAGATTCTTCATATATTGATACTGCTGTTACCACGTACTTTAGATGTATATATTAGCCTTACACACCCTTCAGTGTGTACTGAAGATTCGACAGTTAGATGTTGACACATCCTGCAGCCCTGTGACAAACGGGGATTACGTCTAACTAACTGACAGTATGAAAGTGTGTTTCGTATGTTTCATTATTTGGGCGAGCTAAACCTTGTACTTGTAGTTTCTCAGTCTAGCCGCAAGATGGCATCATTTGCCTTTATAGTAAGTATCCCATATCCTGGCTACACACGTTTGCAATGTCAGTCCAGTGGTTTTGTCCACGTGCTTCGTAGACTGAAGCTTCTGCTGACACGCTGTAAAATGTATTATGTGTTGTCTATACGGGGGCGTATGGCGTCAGGTGGCCTCATGTTAAATGAGGATTATCACCTGAAAGCCTGTGTTTTGTATAAGAAAGAAGTTTCCCTTGTTGATATCTGCTTTTAAATACAGGCGTGTTTTGAGCTGTCCCACAATAATAACCGTGAAATGTTACTTTAGGCTTATGCTCGTGCCTTTAAGCAGTGTTTTTCGGTTTTAGTGTGTAATCGTTTAGGTCATTTATAGTATTTATAGTTTTTTTAGATCTGCAGTCCACCCAGATTAAACCTCAAAGATCCAGTCTATTTAAACTCGCAGGCTATCAGAGGAAGGCGGGTGGTCGGTTAAATGTTGAATTTTAGCATGAGAAAGTCTGGATCCTCGGGATTAAACAGCAGTCAGTCAGTCAGTCACAGTATAGCTGCCCGGGGATGTGTCTGACTTTAGAGCACCGCCCTCAAACGCTGGACGCAGCTGCACTGAGAAACTGCTGCTGTCTGTCAGACCGAGGACCGACACACTTCACACAGCACAGTTCAGGACCTTGTGTGACGGAAGACACTGGAAGGAAGGAGAGTTTGAATCGGGTTCAGATATGAGGTGAGCGCTTTTGTTTTACACTTTGTAGCTTTTTGTGTGTGTGTGTGTGTGTGTGTGTGTGTGTGGGTGTGTGTGTGTGTGTGTGTGTGTGTGTGTGGGTGTGTGTGTGTGTGTGTGTGTGTGTGTGTGGGTGTGTGTGTGTGTGTGTGTGTGTGTGTGTGTTTCCTAATGAAGCGGTATGGGGCTGTATGAGGCTGAGGCACCTGACAGACGCTTTGACCTGTTCTCGTTTGCCTGTGCTTCAGCAGCCGATTCAACAACATCAGATTGAAGTAGTCCAGTGGTAAGTAGTAAGTTCACTGTATGAACTGACTGTAAAGTAACAGTGACCATTACCTTAGTAGCTATTTGGATGTTGCCAGTGAGATAATGGGATTTGTCCTGCTGACATTGGGCTGCAAGCAAAGTGAGAGTTTGGAATTTTATGAACACCTGCTAAATCTTTTCAAGGGAAAGCCTTGACTGGACATTGTTTGAGTTGCTTCATACAGCTTGGCTTGTCTGTCTCCTCCCTGATAACACAAAAAGTTATCTCCACTTGCGTAACCTGCATTTCTGTTATGCTGTTGTATATAGTGTTACAAATCACCAGCATAAATCACAAGTCTGTGAGTTGCTTTTCAAACATGCCCTCGGGAGTGACAGCTTTTAAGTAAGTTCAAAGTCAATAAAGAGTAGAAACAGGTAAAGCTAGGTTACTGTTGTCCCTCACTAAGGGGTTTCTGTTCTAAATCCCACCATTAGTCTGTCACCATTAGTCTGCCTGGTGTTTTAGTTCTTTTAAGCCTTTCTCAGGCTGACCCCACCTGCTCAGCAGCTTCTTGACAGCAGTTTTGTCAGTTGAAGTGACACAAACTGAATAATAAAAGGAAGGTGTGGTGTTGACAGGTTTTACTGTCAGGCTACTGAAAGAACTCAGTAAGTTACAGAAACTACCTGTTAATGTTTTCTAGTGTGACTACAGGTTAATACATCTACTGCTACTGATCAAACACACAGCTGAACGTTCGCTAAACACTGTATTCCTCATGAAGCAGAACACACACACAGACCCCAAAATTTGGTCTAGTGAGGAAAAAAAAAGAGGAATCATAGAGAAAATACTTCATGATCAATACGTGAGCCTTGATAAATACTCAGGCGGCCTAATTTGTTTCTTCCTCTTCCACATTTCAACACACCGCAGGAGGACTCAGTCTGGTATGATTCATATGTCTTGCCTGATGATGCAGGAGCATTCAGCAACATTTTTATGGGGGGGGGTCAAAAGAGTCATATAAACAGTGGTGGTTTTGCGTGAGCAATCATTTCCTGTGTATTTTACGACCGTTGAAAATACATCCCCTTTTCTGTGCAGCCAGTAAGATTCAAACTTTATTACAAACTAACTCTGTTAGTGAAAGTGCTATCATCTAAACGGTTTTCATACTAAAGTATCTGGTCTCTGGCCCACACTCTGATGCTCCATGTGATTTATACTCATAGTGTTTAACAACATCTTTGTGCATAAACATTCAACTGCTACCGCATTATTCTCCTCTTGCTGTTTTTTTCCCTCTCAGTAAGCCTTTCTTTGAGTCATTCATCTGCTGTGATTTAAGACATATGGAAAGACAAAGCAAACAGTGTATTGCTCAATAAGATATGCAGTTTCTTGGCGAATACTTCATCAAACAGATTCTGCTGTTATTGCTAAATAGCTGCAAGGCTTATGTTGTGAACAGGATCAATGATTACTGGTTTAACTTTGATTCATGATCTTCTCCTGTCAACACAAAGCTACTGTAGAGCTGAGAGAATACACAAACATCAGGAGATAACAAGGCAGTGTGTCAGATATGTATGAACAAATGTAACAGCTATGTTGGACTTCACTGCGTATAATTAATACCAACATGAAACAATACTTAACATGTTCCTTTTAGAAACAGTAAATACTGTAGTTAAAAAGATACATAAGTACATAGGTCAACTGATCAAATGGATAAATGGATGAATTAATCAATCAGCTAATAAATCAGAGGAATAAAGATATGTGAGGAAGTCATGCTGTGGATGAAAACAATGTAAACGTGTTTCTTGTGGACTGTGAGTGGAAGCTTGTTGTCATTATTGCCAGGGAGGTGTTGTGAACTTTCTCCTTCCTCTTTGCAATATGTTTCCTTCCCTGTTCCACAGCATAAAAACGGACACATGTGTCAAGGCGTCAGCTAAACAAAAGAGATGGGAACTCTCAGAGATAGGTGGGGCGTGTTGCTCGCTGCAGTCTGCCAGTCTGTAATCGAACAAAAACTTTTCTGCTGTATCAAAACAAAAACACAACATAGCCAGCAGTAGCCAGTCAGTGCCACAGTTCCTGTCTCCTTTGGAAAGAATGCATATTCTTAGATAAAATGACAAACATTTCTGCTTTCTTTAAAGCTGTTAATACATCGCAAAATTGGGACATATCACATCTAAAACAACAGCACAGCTAAAGATGGAGCCACTGAAGGAGGTACAGGGCGGCTTTAGTAAAGGAACCCCAGGATATCATTAACGGGTTCCCTCTGGCACAGACAGGGGCACACTGAAATGAGCTTTTAAACATATCTTTGCCAAGCTTTAAAATCACAGAGGTGGAATTTTACAGAGGCAGCTCTGCTCCCAGCTTTGATCCGGACAGGAAACCAGACACACTCCACAGGAAGAGTTTGGATGGGAGGCGTCCGAGGGAGCTCGCATGCTTTTGTTACAGCACTAGGAGCTTTCTGAAATGTAAAATAAGTCACCTTATCTCTTTCTTGGTGCATCACCATGATTCAGTTTAACTGCCAAAATGATAAGTCATTTTTGATATTTAGTTTTGTGAGACAGGTGAGTCTGTTGCTACCAGGCCCTGCAGCAGTTCAATACAGGTTAGACTGTTATTGAGTTAAACTTTGTCATCTCTTGTGTTCATCTGAGGCAGTCTTGTTTACATGGTCTCTTGTTTACAGTTTCTAGCCCTGTTGATATGTTTTCAGGTCATGTGCTGTTTTTTTCTGCAACATGACACTTGTCTATTCTGAGCCTGGCTTTACTGATTGTTGGCTTACAGAATCTGCTATTCTTGCCACACAGTAACACTGCCATCTAAACCTTGACTTTGCCCTCCTGTGATATGGATGAGTTAAAGCCGCCCTCTGACCTTTGACCCTCAGTGCCAGTCAGTGCCAACTCATTTGTAACATTCTGATGACTATATAAATTGGTCTTCTAGGTTTTTTTTTCTGACAGGACTAATTTGTTGTAACACACGAGAATGTGTATTTAGGGCCAGAATAATTGTTCAGGTGAATAGTTTGTGGAGGTAGCTGGGCAGGCATCACTCTGTGCTCAGTGGGCCTGCAGACAGCAGCCCTGAAGCTTCACAAGCATTCTTCTGTTTGTGTAAATGAGCAGTTTTCTCCTCTGAGGTTGAATGACATTTACTGTGGTCTGCCAATCTTTCTACCTTGCTCCTGACAGATCTTCTTTTGTTTTGGCACTGCTGACCGAACACGCAGCCAGACTTCAGAGAGTTGAGATAATACTGTGGAGCTCTGGGGCCTGGTGAAGGGCAGAGCTGGCAGAGCTGCAGTCCACATGAGTGCACTGTTTTCTGAGGAACGCTGCCTTCTTATCAGGCTTACAGATGGTTCCTTCCTGGTTTTCTTGAGTCCAGTCTGTAATTACTGTTGCTGGCCGACTACACTGCAGTATGTGCATTTCCCAGCACTCCCAATGTTTTCCTTGTGTAGTCAGCTTCCTATTATATTCTGATAGCCTGAAGATATGTGGTCTACAGAAACAAATGAGGACATTACGTCACTGGTTTGACACTCACTTCAGTCTTTACAGTTTTGTCAGTGTCGGACTTATACTGAATGTTTTAAATAGGACTGTCTGTTGCAAGGAGCTTCTGGCAAACACATGGTCACTTTGGGTGGTCTAATGGGATTTATGCATTATTTTGGGATAAGAATGGCAATTAAGGCTGAAAGAGTTAGTTGATTAATTGAAAAGTCAATTGCCAGGAAATTTGTCACCAACTATTTTGATAAGTGATTCATAATGTTAAGTCACTTTTCAAGCAACAATCCCCTGAATTCCCTAATTATAGCTTCTCAAATGTGAAATTTTGCTGCTTATGTGATAGTAAACTTAATAATACCTTTGGGTTTCGGACTGTCGGTCAGACAAAGCCAGACATTTTACGACGTCACACAGGGTTTTGGAAGGATATATGTGTGTATAAAAGCGTGCCTGTGCATGTTTTAATTTTTTTTTTTTGCCCTTCAGGTGTTACAGGTACATTTTTCACATTCCTAACATTCCCCCTCTATCATACTGGACAGTGATTGCTTGCTTTGTCTCAGATACACAGCAGTGCCTCTATTTATATACTGCACACTCCACCATATGGATCCGTACCTCACAAAGCACTGACATTTCTCTCTTTGGGCAATGTTTCGCAGTACAGTAAAGTGAATGCATGAATAATGGTAAAATGATACATAAAGCCTTAGAAGCACTTAAGTTGTTAAACAAAACTAATAAGCCATAAATATCACTAGATAAATCCTTTACAAAGAAATTACACACTGTACTTGACTTTCTCAATTAGCCTCAGTTGGTTTCACTCAATCAGATCATTTTCTAAACAGACGTTTAGACGAAGACGAAGTTTTGATGTCCTTAAGAAGATATATTTGTGGTTTTTGAAGTAGCAAAAACCATCTCAGTATAGTTTCCCTCTTTAACAAGAGCAGGGCATTTTGTGTCTGTCTCTGAGCCTGTCTTCTGAGAGGCCTCGGATGAATGTTTTCTGAGTGACGCACAGCCAGACCAACCACTGGGAACAGACTGTAGCTTACTACTGTAGCTTGTTAAACCCGGTAAATGCAAATGGCAACGGTCAGTCAGAAATGTTCTGAAATGAGCAGAACAGACGGTGAAATTCACATTAAAATGCTCTAGTATTTCAGATTGTTCTGTAATTTTACTATCCTCGGGAAAGGATGTGTTGGCTTACTGACATCCAACCGTTGTGCAGCGTTTCCTCAACATTTGTCTGTCTTGTAGCTTGTTAGCTCAGTGACAGATTGACTGATTGGTATTGTGTTGTTAATAAAGTTAAAAAAAAAAATAAAAAAAAAACGTTTGTGGGCGGTGCGGGCTGTGCTGAAGGTGGTGACTGCATAGTTGTGACATCACAGCATGTCTTAAAGCATGGGCTGTGTGCATCTCTCTGTGGACTGAGCGTTTTGATACTTTCACAGTATGTATATAGCACCTGGACCTGCTTTACCATAAAAAAAGACATGGAAAACTCACTTTCTCCAATATGGGACCTTTAAAATGTGCACACTGGTGAACTCTCTGATCCTCTTAAGTATTATATGGTTTGGTTGTGATGTATGGTGTGTGTGACTGTGTGTATTTTTTCCGCTTTGTCTGTCATTAGTTGTATTTTTACAGCCGCTCTGTGGGTTCAATCTGTCTGCCCACAAGTGACTTTCCATTCTGTCAGACTGAGATGGTGAAGTCATAGGACTCTGTCTGACACAATGTAGTTTGAGTGTTGAGCATTGACTTGGCTGGGAAGACAGTAAATGGTACCTTTTCATTAGTCCTCACAGACATCTGCATACAACAGATGGTTCCAATAATTGTGCCTTTTGTACTTCTCTACTTGGACTGAAATGGGAAAGCATAAGTGCAGTCAACATGTCTTTATTTGAACTTTCCACCAAAGCCACGAGAGATTCTTGAACGTTGGCCAAAGTTTGTAATAAAATGATATCAACATAAAATTATTTTTAGGAGCTCTTGTGAAAAAATAGCCTCTTAACAAAATGGAGGTTTACTTTTTTTGGCAGGAAGTTTACATCCCTTTATCTCAAAGAAACTTATTTTAAACTCAACTGGTGAGAGAAATGACTCCACAGAGGCTTTATAGGAGATTTTATGTTGGGCCCCAAACACTCCACATACCACATGGTAGAATACACAGCAATTTTCCCATCACAGCCTCCTGCCATGCATGAGAGATTAAAGCACCTGCATCGTATATCATGCCTGTCTCAGTCATTGCTCGTCACTCACTGACAATCAGAGAGTAAATTCCCCCAAAACTATGAAGGTGGTCCTGTGACTCGATGGCTGTTGGAGCCACGGAGAGGCTTAGCACAGTGTTGGACTCATGCTGATGGAGCAGTTCAGAGCCGCTCTAGCCACGTGGCAAAGGAATGTCAGCTCACTGAATGTGAGGCTGAATGTTCGCTGTGAAAGGCCTTAGGGGTCCACAGTATCTTCCCACAGGACAGGAGCTTTTTGAAGCTACCAAGGTGTATAAAGCAGACTGAAGGTCACCTGAGTGAACAGTATTTCTACGGGCTGGTTGTTGTTCTTCTCTCTGCCTGAATCTTTCTCTGAAATGTAAAACAACAGCAGAAGCAAAACAGGATGCAAACACACAGCCAAACCGGATCCTGTGTAAATTAATTTGCTAATTTTAGCCTTGGGACAAAACGTTGTTGCTGTAGGAACAATATTCAAAATCTCACCACATTCAAATCACAAACATGTTGTGACCCAAGACTGATTGGTCATTGAATGTAGTGTGTAACTTTCTCATATGCTTGTGGATTCGTCCTTGGCTAAAGCTCTGTATGAATAGTTTCATGGCACAGGCATGTTGCCACCTGAAGCCGTGGGGTGCACTGTGACAGTAATAGTGGCTTACTGAGGGGCACTGTTTGAGTCCTGCACAGCTGGCCTGACCTCTCCTTTAACCCTGCCTATCCCGCTCCATGGGACATTAAAATATCAAAGGCAGACTTCTCCCAAATCTCACGGAAGCCGCGGTCTCCGCCCAAGTGAGCACATACATGCCTAATGCTGAAAATTTCCACATTTTGCTTTGATGTCGAGTTCTGGCACAGACTTCCTGGCATCATTTTCAAAATGATGATGGTTGATTGGAGGAAAGAGAGAACTATGTTGTATTTAATTCTATCAGTTCAGTTCAGCTCTGCTCTGACATGAGCGTGTGTTTTGGTAACAATGTCTTTCACACGCAGGCACATATGTAAGCTTACTGAAGGCACATATCTAAGTCGAAGGTGGACTATTTAGCATGCATACCCAATCACATCCAGTCAACCTGCGTTAGTCTGGTGTGTTTTAACAGTCAGTTTCTAAGACCTCTCTTTTTACTGCTGAAAACATTGGCTTTCAGCTGGAGTAAAGATACTACCATACCTCCAGACATGTACTTTTCCTGTCTACTCATCCATGGTCAGTACTGTGCTCCAGGAGTACCAGCTTAACAGAAACAAACTGTGGTTTTTTGGGTTTGAAATAATAGGGAACCCACTTGTTGCTCATGTTGAATAATGTATATACAGTAGAAATGTCATTTATTTTGAACTACAACAGGTACAACTGTCAAATGTTTGTTAGTGAAGACTCAACAGTAGCATGTACTTATGTATGTATGTATGTATGTATGTATGTATGTATGTATGTATGTATGCCATATATAGCAAATGTAGTATGTATATTATTGATTTCCTGGAGCCATTAAACTAGCCGTCATTTCCATCAGGGTTTGCACTTTGTACAGAGGACTTTGTGCTAGAAAATATATATTGCCTACAGTTCAAGCCTCTTCAAAAATATACAACTGAAGTCCAATTGAAAAATGCTACAGATTTAGAACGTCCAAAAATCTTATAACAATGCAGTATAGTTTTGCTTATTTATCCGTGGTAGGTATGTCATTTTGAAGTCATCACTCAACCTTGAAGCTGTTGAAAAGTTTGGTGGAACCAGTAAATAGTATTAAGAACCACAAACAGCTTCTTTTTTATGGGCTGACATGGTTATGCCTCTGTAAAAGCACAAGTAGTAAATGTGCTCCACATCTGTCTGAAGACGACAGACTGGCACATTTTTATTCTTGCAGCCTTGCCTGTATTTGAAATGTTATCTCGTCAATGTGGGTGTAAGTTTACTTTGTTTCAAAATGCAGCTACGTAGATAGTGGGTCTTAGTGGGGAGTGGTACTGTAAGCCCTCTTGATAATTCAGTCATGTGAACTGGAGTCAAAGAGCAGATAAAATACAACTGTGTTGTCAACTTAATTTAAATGACTTTAATGTTCTAATCTTTTCACCATTTCAGTGAAGCGAGATAATATAATGAAGCAGCAGCAATTTTATCAGGCTTATAATAGAATATGGAAAAACATCCGTTGCCCAAAACCATCTGTGCGGGATCCTTTGCCATGAGATGACGTCAGATGTTATGTGTCTTGCCTCCTCAGACTGGGCATGACGGTGCGGGCCAAGCTGAGGGTGTAGCCACATCTGGCAGAGAGCGCTGAAGTAAGCAGGAGCCTCAGCACACCAAACCGTCCACTGCAGCAGGGAAGATGGGAGAGACAGAGGAGGAGAGGGATAATGTGGGGAAGCGGTTTGAGAACTTCTTCCAGGCCTCGACCTGTAAAGGAGCCCTTCAAGCCTTCAACGTCCTCTGCAGACAGCTGGACCTCGACCCTGCGGACAACAGCACCTTCTACAGCAGTCTGAAGGCAAAGGTCACCTCCTGGAAGGCCAAAGCACTATGGAGTAAGCTAGACAAGAGGATGTCCCATAAGGAGTACAAGAAAGGCCAAGCCTGTGTGGGCACCAAGGTAAGTTTAATGATATCTTTGTACAGCTGTGCTTTATACCACAAAAATTTAACCAGTCATAGGCCATGTTATTGCTGGCCATTCTCCAAAATATACCATATACTTTTAGTTTATTTCCTACTTTCCAGGAAGGACATTGTTTTCTTTTCTGTGTGATATGAAGTCGGTCTTTTTTAGTACGGTGTTAAATAGGTAATTCATCTCAATTCACAATGACTAAATGTGCACTGATATTCACACTGTTTTTGTGTGGTCGTGCAGATGTTTTACATGTCGGCTTGTTGCCAGATATTTTTGCCAGACATTGTTGCCAACAACAATACACATCATCCTTTTTACAGTTTCCTTGTTTGCGTGACGGTATTACTTAGGCTTAGTAATGCAATTGTTTTTTATGAGTTTACCAGCAACAATAGATGAGTTTTTCCAACTGTTGTAACTGCAGTAACATCACGATAAACAACTTTTGCAGAAAAAAAAGATAAAGCTGACAAAATGTTCACTGTGATCTATTTCAAGTAAGTTTTCATTAAGTACTGAAAACTAAAAGTGTATCCACAGCTAAAACATGTACAGTCCATAATCTAAAATAATAATCTAAAATAATACCATAAGGGTTTGTTTATACATCATAAAAGTTGACATTGCATGATTTAGGAAGTGTCTGTTGTGACTTTACCTCATGTGGTTCCTATTTTTTTTAATTCTTTAAACAATCTGTCCTCCTCAGGAGTACCATGGCTAAAGCAACGTCATGGTCATCACTTAAACCTCTACCTGCCAAGACGCAGCCCATCAACTACATGAACACTCACTCTTTCACCGCAACAGCTCTGAACAGACAGGGCAGGAAATTAAAGAGACATATACCGTGTTTTGAAGTGATTCTGTCGTTCTCACACAGGTGCTATGTGACAAAACTGTGCAGAACGAAATACACTAATAATACTTAATAATACATAGTTTATAGACGAATGTGTCACAGAACCATCAGCGCTTTATTCAGCAGATATTCTAATAAAACATGAAGCAGAATTAACACACACAGACAACTCAACATGACAGCTGTGCACCTCTTCATCTTTCAGCTTTGTATTCAAACAACACTGAAATGAACGATGAATGGGAACAAAGCAGTCATATTAGGGTGTATGGTGTCCTGTGTGATGAGGAAACATAGGAAACCTGGAGGAGTGTGATTACCCTTCAGTCATCAGCTACCCCCGGCTTGAGAGAGTGTGTTATTGCACAGAGAAACAGACAGCATCACTCAGCAACTATGATTATTGGGCCCCAGCTATACTGAGGGTGTGCTGTGCTCTTTATGGGCTCGTCCTAAAAGGTTGGATCGAGGCCCGGATTGTTATTAAAGTGTGTTTTAAATGCTTCAGTGTGAGCTCAGTTTTACAGGTTCTGTTTGATTCAAGCCAACACCAAAATAGGTAAGAAGAAAGAAGGTAAAAGTTTTTTAAGAAAATGTGACTCTAAAACTTCTGAGCCGAAGATTTTAGATCAGATTTGATCATTCTGACAATATGCAGGGTTGCGTTGTAAAATAAAAAGTGGTACTGTGTAACAAAGTCATAAGCAGTGGATTTTGTGGATTATTGAAACACTAAGTTATTGTAAATTTATGGCACTGGTCTATTTCTTTTTAAGGCCCTTGATTTAATGAGTTGCTCACACATGTACAGTATGACCCCAGTATGAAGTCTGTTTTAATCACTCACAGGGCAGACAATCTGCTTTTACTTGATTACTAATTTCTCCTCTCCCTGGGAGAACCACGAGGTGACGACTCATGTTTTTATAGCAGCTCAGCTCTTTAACAGTGACAGATGTGATATCACTCAGCTCCTCGTCTTCCCGCTGTAGCAGCAATCTTATAAGGATGTGATGTCATCCCAGTTTTTATGACCTGACACAGCTGGCAGCAGTGACACATAACCGCAGCGTGTTTCTTTCTCATAAGGTTTTACTGTGCCCTCAAAAAATGCTAATTGATCTTTGATTTAAATCCACGATATGATGCTATGAATCATCCTCAGCACACTTCATCAGAGCTCTGAGACACAGTGTGCTTTTAACCCTGAAATTTTAACATGTTCAACAGAAGAAGTGCATTCATCAATCTTATTTAAGATTCAGACATAATTTCAAGGGAAGACAGCTTCACCTCCATTGGACCCATGTGAAGCTCTAGATTTAGTTTGCTGTACACAGATGAGAGCCTTAAGAAAGATATTGTCTTAGATGAGATGATTGAGTAATTGACAAAAATAATCAACAGATTAATTGATACCAGAAATGATCATAGTTGCAGTTTCCTAACTTTTAACTCAAGATGCTCCTTGTCTGAGCCTCACTGTCCGCTGAGATGAAAAAGGTCAGCGTAACTGACTGGTAGAGTTTCATCATGAGGGCGGGGGACAGATGTGACCTGGACGAGGTTGAGCTGGGATGAGAACAAGGTCACAGGTGGGCAGCAGAAAGGAAGTGTGTGTGTGTCCTGACTCAGCAGATGTGGGGCGAGCCCTCAGGAAAAAGCCTCATATCTGGAAAAATATATCAGTGAATGGAAAAGTACTAAGACAAACAACCCATATCTGCTGGTGGCTGATAGACAGATCCAAACAGTTACATGTGTGTAGATAAAAAAATATTCACATTGTGAACATACTTCTGAATAAACAGAGTTCAAATTGTGCATATAAATTCTGACATTTTCACCGTTTCTCCACCTCTGTCTCCGGCTGTGTAAATATCTAGTGCACTTACTCACCCTTTGTTGAGAGAGAGAGAGAGAGAAAAAAAAAAAACTTGGCCTGCAGGCAGGCTTGTCCAGGCAGCGCTTCCACCACCTGTGTGTGCTTCACACCTGAGAATACCTCATCCTGATCACCTCAGGCAACACATGATGAAAACTCATGCCCTGTGAATCCACCCTGGAGCTCAACCACTTGCTAAGAGAGGGAGAATATAGAATGACTAAAGCCCATTCATCTTGTTTTTAGGGCAGGAACAGAGAGCCGTTTAAGGCTATGATGTGGGATTTTTGTTAACTGACACCGGCCGTTCTGTAAACAGCACCCAGTCTGAGTGTCTCACAGAACTGACATGAGTGGAGCCACCTCACCCTCCAGTGTTGTCCCGTTGGTGGACACACATGGTGGCAGGAAGGGAGTCCTCCTGTTCAAATATGTGGCAAAAACCCTTCTCTGCATACTGTAGGGATTCAGGGGTCGGACAAAGTGGCCGCTCTTTGTGCTGTTGGATAAACGGAATGCCAAGAAATTAAAGTGTTTTCTGGAAAAGTGAAAGAAAGGGTATTTTCAGTGCTAATTTGGTGAAGCTATCGAGACAGGAGACTGTCCACCTTGTCGAGCACAGCAGGGGTAACCTTCAGAAGTGGTTTGGTCCTGGATTAAATGTCAAAAGAATCAACACACACACACACACACACACACACACACACACAATTCTCTATAATGTCTCTTAATCTGTTTAGAAGGAAAGAAGATAGTTTGCCAGCACACATGCGTCTGCTCTTTCATCTATCATTCAAGAGGATGATGTCATGTGTGACCACACATTCTCAGACAGACGCTGTTTCCTCAGTCAACTGAGTTCATGCATTTTTGGGTGAGGCCGATGCATGAATCACACCTTTGATATGTAAAGGTTGTAAGAATAGTTTAAGTGGGTGGAAGTTCTTCGCCAACATCCCTCTGGCCACTTTCCTGATAAATGCACTTCTTTCGGGCACGTGTAAACTCTCTTCTACATATTTAATGTTTTACTAACAATCCTCTCACACACACAAGGTGGTCTAGAGAAGTCATCTCAAGACTAGAATGATCCTCGGAGCCAGTGTGTATCCTGCTAAAGTGTCCTTGAGTGAGACACTCAGCCTCTAAATGCTCTAGTGGTGCAGTAAAGTGCTGCTCCCGCTCGTGATCTACGTACATGTTAGAATACTCCCTGGTATGTTAATCAAACAAGTGGGATGTGAACTATTTTCCAGCTCAGAAAAGTCTCAGCCTTCCGTTATTAATATGACAAAGATCCAGCTCATTTCTCTGAGGTCAGTTTGTCATTCTCTTTTATTTAGTGCCTCATCATCGGAGGAGGTCCCTGCGGCCTGCGGACAGCCATTGAGCTCGCTTTGATGGGTGCCAAGGTGGTGGTGATTGAGAAGAGAGACTCCTTCTCTAGGAACAATGTGCTGCACCTTTGGCCCTACACCATCCATGACCTGCGGGGCCTCGGGGCCAAAAAGTTCTACGGCAAATTCTGTGCCGGGGCCATAGACCACATCAGTGAGTATCTGACTGTACAGAAACCAAACAGGCTGGAGGGTTTTGCTTTTCAGTGACCTGTGATCACACAGTATCAACTTCTGTGAACCCTGATCTTCTCCTGAAATGCGCAATATTTTGTTTGACACAGGCTGAGCTTATATTAGGGTTAAAGATTATGGTCCTCCAATACTTATAGAATCTATTCTGTTTTACATTTCTTTTGGTATTTTATTGTGTCTGACTTTTCTTTTTACCTTTCTCTTTGTTTCTGTGTTTTATGGGATTTGGTTGCTATAACACTGTATTTTCTGTTTGGAGTAAGCACTCCATCCATCCATCCATCCTGTAAACACATGTGGCCACTATTGTGCAGCAGTAGTGTCTGTATTTCCTTTCTTCAACCCCTCAGTGAACTGGTATGAAATATTCAAATTTTGGATGCATGGTTATAAATCTAAATCATTGTATACTCATTTTGTGCCTCTGCATTTTTTTCTGTCCACTGGACCCTAAATGAACCAGATAATGTTTTGATTCTGGTTCAAAGAAAGGCCAAAAGATGTAGAAAGAAAAAAGGTCTTCTGTATATTTCTAGAAAATTACTTGAGAATAAAAACCACATTATAGAGGACATCAACCTGTTCTGAGTTTGATATTATTTGAGCTCTGATTCCTATTAATCCTTTCATCATAACAACTAGAGAAAAAATCTTAGCACAGGTAGAACAGAGTATCGGAGCTTGGGCTTTCCTCTCAACGGTGTCAAGACAACGTAAAACACAACACAAAGTTTGGCAGAGTTTTACACATGTATACAAACATCAGTGTGTGTCTGTGTGTCTGTTAGGCATTCAGCAGCTGCAGCTCATCCTGCTGAAAGTTGCCCTCATCGTCGCAGTTGAGTTTCACATCAATGTGGAGTTTGTCAAGCTGCTGGAACCTCCAGAGGATCAGGAAAATGAAGGTATTCATCCGCACGCTCACTTCAGTTACATGTCCAAACAGTAGAGTAACAGTGCTTTTATATTCACCGACTGACAGTTGTTTTATGACCCGCAAGCTTTGGGGAGAATGGGGAGAACAGCTGGAAGTCGTAGAACTGGGACATATAGTAGGATGAGACTGAGTTGTTTTATAATGTGTAAAGCTTGATATAAACATCTGACTGCATCCGTCAGTTTGTTGGACAGATATACCGTGTAGCTTCCTGGAGGGTCTATATTTACCCTCCTACTCCCGCGGCTTCGGCTGGCCAGGCAGCGAGGGACATCTCATCCTGCAGTATTTAATTTCCTTGACATCCACCAATAAACACAACACAAATATTGGCACTGAGCTAGTTTTTCATCATATTTAGATCAGCTTAGTGGAGACCAAGTGTATTGTTCGACTTCCATCTCAGTTATATTGCTCACATTAATACCAGTGAATAAACATTGCTTCCTTTGTTTGAGATTACATTTAAAAATGTTTTAAAGTAGCACATTGATCACAAAGCATTTAGTTTTAAACAAAACATCTGCACATTACACAGGACATTAATGCTTTGTAGCATGTACACACCACTGTAGATGACCCTCTTATCCCACATTGGACTATAAACTCTCAAGCAAGAAAATCACTCGCACAGCGTTGTCATGTGTCGTCTCTTGGGCTGTAATATCAATAAGCTGATAACAATGAGAGCCTTGCCTAAGTTTAGACACAGACTTATCCCTCGTGTTATGCTTTGACGGACTTAGCTGAGCCCTTGACATCATGGAATGCATTTTCCACATGGTGATATCACACTTCAAACTGCCAAGCTGTTACCGTGCTGCTGTCGCACGTCTGCAGCACCACACACTTGAAATGGCCAATATTTTTTCATAATTAATATATTATACAGTTTTATTTGTACAACACGCTACACTGACACTCTCCAGGCCAGTGGACTTTACAGATATGAAGCATCCTTGAAGTACATAAACATACCAACAGTCATCAATTTCATTTTCCTGCATCGCATTTATTCTATTATATCTATTTTTAGAATATGGACAGCTGTATTTGTCCTTGTTTTGCCGGCATCATAGCAAGAACAAGTCTTACTGGAAAACAGCAGCATAGAAACCCTAAACAGCAACCGTGCTTAAGTGTGCTCATTCATTCTCCTCATTCATGGTCTCTGCACTGACAAATTTAGAATTGCCTAAGCATGGCAGGTGGCAGAGTGGTGCAGGAAGGACAGACATTTTGATGGAGACTGTTGAAGTGTCCCTGAGCAAAATACCAGCCCTTATCCGCTGACATACCACAGCTGATTGTTTGGTGGAGGGGTACAGCACAAAGGGAATGTTCCTAGGATTTATATCATGTAGGGTTATACTTTTCTCACCCCTCTCACTCTTTCTCTGTCTTTGTTTCCCTCTCTCAGGGCTCGGGTGGAGGGCCGCAATCCGACCCGCCGATCACCCTGTGGCTAACTTTGAGTTTGATGTCGTGGTGGGGGCAGACGGACGCAGGAATACTCTAGAAGGTGAGAAGAAAGCAAAACAACAAAAAAAAGAAAAAGACATGATCAGTATAGATGCCTCAAGGATGTACTGTACTTTCAAAGACCTCACGACAAAGTCTCATACTAAGAAACAAGCTGTGCTCAAAGTGTTACTTTCCCACTCGAAAGTGTTAAAACCTTCTGCCACTCCCAACTTTTTCATTTCAACTTTTGACTTCTATAGTACATGTGAATATATCCGTAACTGAAACGGCCTCTTCCTGTTTTTGATGTGTATCCTATTATAACTATTAAATACATGTAATATGTAGACATGAAACCTGTTTACCATATCAACATGTTTTCTCCCTCCAACTTTGTTTTTTTTATCATTCATTCATCTGTTTGTGATATTGTGAAAATCTGTGAGGTATCATATGAAACAAAAAAGTCATTTATCAGAGTTAGGACTTAAATCAGATAAAAACCCAGCACACCTTCTGTTTACTGAACAGCTTATATATCCAAGTCATCCCACATGACTGTTTCTGGTTTCTCACTTTGAATAACTTGTACTGCATTACCTCTGTTGTGATGCTATAAATGAAACTCACCTTCTGTAAACTTATACTTGTATGAAGCCATTGATCTCTCCCAGTGGGAAAGATAACACATGAAACCACTAAAAGCACTGTACATAAATAGAGCAGAGTCGGGGCTCAGCGCAGCAGCAGCAGCAGCAGCTGATGCATGCATGTTGGACTCTCTCCATCTCTTATGTCTCACTGTTTTCGGTCTCTCTCCTAAAAATGCTGTCATCTAACAACCAATTCACATCAGATGCTTATTCCTAAAAAGGGCATTTTTTGGGCCGGACGAGACGTCTAGCTCATTCTCAAATTATGAAGAAGCCTTGGGGAATGATTTTCCCCTGCAGTCAGCCTGCTTTCGTGGCATAGCTACGGTAACACAGAGTTAAATACAATCAGGTCTGCACTCTGTTGATTGTTGTTGCCTTTAAAGAGGGATGAAGTGACAGACAGAGGGAAAAAGAGTGCAGTGACTGTATGGAGAAGTTGTGACACAAGTTCAAGCCCAAGCAACCAATCCATTCTTCGTTGTCCTCCCTGCACTCACAGCTTTAGAATGAGTGACATTGTTAGTAAGACCTTCATTTACAGGTAATGCACCAGTAAAATGATGAACCTTAATTTTAGTTTATTTGACGTCTGCTTGGGGTTTTGGTTTTGTTCTTGCAGCTCTGATGGTTAATTAAGCAAACAGCATTTAGTTTTGATGATAGCATTTAATTACTGGTGCTTCTTACAATCCCCTGGCTGTATAAAGGCTAACCTTGGTAAACTGCCTCTTATCCTATAATAACTGCCTTGTAATTATGGCTTAAGGCTTCTTTTTTTCCCCTGTTTCTGTTTCATTGTCTCTCTATCTCTTTTCCCATATTTTCCCATGTCTTTATTTCTCCCAGGTTTCAAAAGGAAGGAGTTCAGGGGTAAGCTGGCAATCGCCATCACAGCCAACTTTATCAACAGGAACACCACCGCAGAGGCCAAAGTAGAAGAGATCAGCGGAGTGGCCTTCATCTTCAACCAGAAGTTCTTTCTGGACCTCAAAGAGGAGACAGGTGGGAAAGAAGCACTGTCAAACTGCCACGTTGTGCTTTTTGCTTCCATGAAGATGAAAGTCTGGGGATATCCTACAGAGTGCACTGAGTACACAGGATATACCTGATCAATAAAATTATTCTCAGGGACTTGGGTTATTGAACAGTAAGGTTGTGTTTTTGCTCTGTTTGCTCTGGCTGTAATCAGTGAGCATTACTGTATTTTTTAGGTGATCTTGGCACAGCTATATGTAATGCAGAAAAAGATATTTATGGGTTCAAGTTAGTCGCTCTTAACAACTTGAAGCAATCGCCTCGGTGGGCTGTCTTGTTGGTGGAAATTAAAAATTTGTAGCCCTATTGAAATCATATCATTTCTTGCAGGTATCGATCTGGAGAACATCGTGTACTACAAGGACAACACGCATTACTTTGTCATGACTGCCAAGAAACAGAGCCTGCTGGAAAAGGGAGTTGTCATTAATGTAAGCAAAACATATTTAGTTCAATTGTCCATATTTGAATCACCAAAACTGTTGGAGATGAAGCTTCGGAGGTCTAGAACCGAGCTAGTTGTATACATTTCAGTGTCTTCTTTATTATTTCATGCGTCGACATACAGTAGGGCTTTTCTTTGACATCTGTGCAGCATTACTCAAAAAACTCTCTATGGGAACAGATCATAAACAAATTAATTTTGGTCTGTTAGAAGTGCTAAGCTCAGACTTACCCTGTGTGAACTCCCTCTGACTGTCATGCCTCTTCAACAGGATTACATAGACATCCAGAAGCTGCTGAGCAGTGAAAATGTCAACCAGGAAGCTCTTCTGTGCTACGCCCGTGAGGCTGCTGACTTTGGCACCAACTATCAACTTCCCACGTTGGATTTTGCCATGAACCACTGTGGGCAGCCAGATGTAGCAATGTTTGACTTCACGAGCATGTATGCCTCAGAGAACGCCGCTCTGGTCAGGGAGCGATTTGGACACCAGCTACTGGTAGCACTGGTTGGCGACAGTCTGCTGGAGGTGAGAAGAAGCTAGCTGTGATCATTGTGAGTTTAGGGAGGCAGCAGTGTTTTGAGGAGCCTGACTGCCTGGGAGAAGAAGCTGTTACAGAAGCTGGCAGTCATGGCTCAGATGCTCCGGTTCCTCCTGCCAAAAGCTGCGGAGTGAGGAGAGTCAGACAGAGGAGGGAAGGGTCTGTTACAGTGCCGGCAATTGTTTGTTGATTTATGGTCCTATTCCAATACTTTATATGAGATACTCCACCTCCTCTCTCAAGGCAGATTAATTATTGTTGATGTTAGAGAGATGTTGAAGGTTTTAGCACTGACAACAGGTATTTGTCCACATTTTTCCCTTTTATTTATCCATTATATTTTATTTTAATTTTGTTAATTTGCTGCTAATTGGTTTCCAGTCTAATCACAGTATTCGCCACAGTGGTTTTTCAATACTTTAAAGTAATGTTGTTAAGTGTTGATGTTGTTTTGTGTCCCCATATATACTGACAGACACATTCATATATTTGTCATGTGTTCTTGTGTAGCCGTTCTGGCCAATGGGGACGGGTTGTGCCAGAGGCTTCCTGGCTGCCTTTGACACAGCCTGGATGGTAAAGAGCTGGGCTCAGGGGCGGACAGTTCTGGAGGTGCTGGCAGAGAGGTACACACACACACACACACACACACACACACACACACACACACACACATGTATATGTACAGTAAGTGTTATGTACTTAGATGCTGACAGTCTGAATGTGTTGTGTTTCTGCAGGGAGAGTATTTACAGGCTACTTCCACAGACAACACCAGAAAACATTGCCAAAAATTTTGAACAGTACACCATAGACCCAGGAACTCGATACCCCAACCTCAATTCCTCCTGTGTCAGGCCGCACCAGGTAAGAGGGAGTACTCACTCTGACAACACCGGATTCTTACCATCTGTCTTCAGGTGTTGGTTTCATTTTCCCTTTTCGTTCCTGTTTCAGGTGCGTCACTTGTACATCAGTGGAGAACTGAATTCCTGCTCTCTGGAGCGTGCTGCTACCATACGACGGCCTGTCAATCTCTGCAGACGTGGTATGTTTACCAGGAACTGGCAGATACCTGTGTGTTGTTATTGGGAGACATTATGTATTGAGGTTGTTTTCGGGATGTCTGTCCGTCCCATTCTTGTGAGCGCGATCTCTCAGGAGTATATGTAAGGAATTTCATTACATCTGGCTCAAACATTCAATCGACCTGATTAGAATTTGGTGGTGAAAGGTCAAAGGTCAGGGTCACTTTGACCTCACAAAACACTTTTTAGGCGATAACTCAAGAATTCATATGCTAATTACGTGAAAATGTCACACAAATGTCAGATAGAATAAAATGATGAAGTGATGACTTCATTTTATATCCAAAAGGTCAAAGGTCAACTTCACTGTGACATCATAATGTTCTGCAAAAACACTTTTCTGGCCATTATTCAACGCTGTAACTCAGGAACAAGAGGGGAGGTTGTGACCTTATTTCCTGCATCTCGACTGGTTGGTGGGGGCATACAACCACGAGGTGCTAATTCTAGTTTTTATGAGTGAATCTCTGGTTGAAAGCTTGCAAAGACTCCTACTGACTCATCTCTAGATTATCCAGGGTAGCAATCTGACCGGTTGATAGGGTTTCCTCTCCTCTGTTACTTTAAAAGGATTCTCATGTTTCTGTTCCCTCTAACCGAAGTAGTAAGGAACCAGACTTAGCTTCAGTTTAGGGAATAAGTCACTATCTGAGGTTTGTTTTTACATGTGGGTTCACTGGGAGGAGGAAGCTGTGAAAGAACAGTCGTTGGGTTGTGGTAGAAACAGTCAAATACACATATCTTTCTCTCCAAGTTCAACATTACTTTCTGTTCCTGTCTTTAAACAAAAAAAATCTCTTACATCATTTTGAAATGTATATGTATGTATGAGGCAAAAGGTAAACATGTGTCCATATTTATAACAGTTTTGTTATAGTTCTGCTGAGATCAAAGTCTAGTTAGATCTGAACTGGGAACAGTGAGGACAGAAGCTCTACATGCTGAACCGAGCTGTATGTTCGGCTGAAGCAACTTGAGTTTTTTGCCAAAGGCAGCGAGGACATACATGTTTGCACAGACGTGTGTACATACTTCAGCAACCACTCACACCATTCCTGTCAAGACCTTATTTACTGACACAGCATGTGTTGGTCCATTCATTTCATTCCCATGATAAGTTATTTGAGGATTGTTGAAAAATCTGACTTTTATTGTTTCTTTTGTAGAGTCAGAGATCAGACCGACGAGGCTTCTTACCTGGTGCCAAAAACAGACAGAGGGCTACAGGAATGTGACGATCACAGATCTGACGTCTTCTTGGCAAAGTGGCATCGCCCTCTGTGCCCTCATCCACAAGTTCAATCCCCAGCTGATGTACGTACACACTTCAGATATTCACAGTAACCCGTTAACATCACCTTATCTCTTTACAAGTATTTAATGCCTATGTACATTAACATGAAGAAACCCTATTTTTGTAACAACTGGCTGTGAGGAAAACTATTTCTTATGGGTGTGTGAAATATGCTCGGCATGGGAACAACTTGTTTATCTCTATCTTTTCTGCTGCGCTCTCTACCTCCTCCTCACAACTTGTAAAACACTTTTTTAAGTGCTGATAGATGTGAGAAAGACTTCATACATAGCTGTCCTGTAAGTGAGGCTAGCTGGTAGTATGAGGTGGAAACAGGGGAGTTTTCAGGAGTGTAGATGTACACATTTCATACATACAAACTTTTATCAGTCAAAAATGATTATTATTAAGTAGTATATAATTCTTAATAGTGCTGACCTGGAGCCGTGGGGAAAAATAACAACTCATGTAGGACTTAGTGTGCTTTGGTACCCGCTTATAGAACAACAAAATCCTCCTTAAAAAGCAGAATCTGTACCTTTAGTTTCCACTTCTTAGGGTCAGACAGCCTTGCGCAGCATGGAATTAGTCAGTGCAACTGTAGATTAGTGCATTTACAAATCTAATTATATCCTCTCACTCTTTAATTATTGCCTTCATACCTCGCCACATGCCACTACAATTTCATGTGGTCCTGTGAGTTTCCAGGAACCACTGGCGTTTTTTCCCCTTCCCTCCTCCATATGCATGCCTGTTAACAGAGCCGACTGCAGAGAGGGGAGCAGGTTCAGAGAGGAGAGAGAGAAGAAAGAGTGAGCCTTTGTATGTACAGAGTAACGCCAAAGTGTGTGTGTGCTGCTGCTGCTAGGTTACTGCTCTCTTCTTACATTATTTCTGATGGTGACTGCACACTGTCAGTGCAGGCACAGACGTCAGAGCTGTTTTCTTTTCTCCCATTAGATTAGTGTAAGAAAGACGAGTTTTTTTTTTTTCTACAGGGTTGAAAGTTGAGTGAGATAAGTTTCTGTGAAAACTCATTCCATTGCGCTGATGTAACGTGTTTTCATATCAATGTGCATATTATCTTACTCTCTGCTCACTGTCAGCCGTGTAGAGATGAGAGACTCTGTTAGGAAACAGTCTCAGTTACAAACCTCGCTGTAACTATCCTGTCTGAATATTCAGGCCATCTTCAATAGGTGTGACACTTGAGAGTCTGCATTTAAGAAACAGTATGCGCTGCACAGGATGAAATATAAATGGTGTAAAACTGTGACAGTTCAGGATAAATCACCATGAAAACTGAAACACTAATATAGCTGCACAGTAACTGCTTCACCATGACGTATTTAGCCTGAATCTTTTTTCCTTTCCTTGCCTCCGTCAGAGATTTTGATTCATTAAATGAAGAAGACCATGCTGCAAACCTCCAGCTGGCTTTTGACATCAGTGAGCGGGAATTTGGGATCCGACCTTTCACGTCTGTGAAGGAGCTGAGTGCGGGTGAGGAGCTGGATAAGACCAGGATGATCACCTACCTGTCCAAGTTCTATGAGCTCTTCCGTGGAACACCTCTACCTGCATCAGGTAATCTATTTTACTTTACTCCTCTGTACACTGTTCCACCGTACTGTACTGTGTTCTGTTCTACTCTTCTCAACTCTACATGACTCAGTCTGGAGGTCATGCTCAAATCTACTCCACTCAACTGGACTCTACTCTGCTCCGCTCTATTCTGCACTATTCTACTCTACTGAACTTTACAGTATTGGATTCAACTCAATTCTACTGTTCTATAATATTATTCTCTATTATTCTCTGCTTGGCTTTACTCAACTCAGCTTTACTGTACTCCACTCTATTCAGCTCTATTCTACTTGATTTGGCTTGACTCTACTTGACTCCATTCTACTTTCCTGGAATCCAATTTCATCTACTCTGCTTTGTTCTACTCTACTCTACTCTGCCCTTCTCTGCCCTTCTCTACTCTTCTCTACTCAACTCGACTCTGCTGTACTTGAATCCACTCTACTCTCCTCTGCTTTTCTCTACTCTTCTCTGCTCTACTCAACTCTACTTGACTCGATTCCGTTTCATTAGTTGTAGCCACTGATTCCTGTTGTTATCCTCCTCTTTGTTTCTGGTCATGTTTTATGACTAAAATATGTACAACCAACAAAAAAACCCAAAAAAAACAAAAGTTCCAGTCAAAGATATTGAATATCTTTTGGTTTCCTGTGAAAACCTAGTCATGTATAGTGGCATGAGAGGAATGTGTATTTGTACCATAGCTGTGGACTGCAGTGGTCCGAGATTCTTGACAACATGAAAACAGCTGCCTGTGTCAACACAAAAGCCATTTAATGTTCACCTATGTTGTATTATTTATCTTCTGACAACAACTTGCTCTTCTCTGAGTAATTAACTAAGCCATTATTTTTATTATGGTTACACCCCTCTTCACAAATACAGCAACTCTCTTTTTTCCAGAACATTCACATAACGTTCCTAATCTATAAGGGCATATTGCATTGATATTATCTGACATTTATGGCTAGGCACGGTGGAAAATATGAAAACTCTAATGCAGTCACGTGTTTTACTGCAGGCTCCAGAGGAGTGGATGAAAACAATGAAGATTATCCATCTAAAGAAGTCAGAAGTAATAATAATGTGCTCAATCTTGCAGTTCCCAGGAAACGGGTTCCAAAGGTAACTCCACACTGACATTTTTAAATCTGATGTACTACAACATGTTGACGTCTCTGCCTTCAGTTTCCAGTTCAAGTGGGATTCATTTTATCTACACACACATATATGTGTGTGTGTGTGTGTATATATATATATATATATATACACACAGTATATACATATTGCTGGTTTGAAACTCCTCTTCTTGGGACTCCTGCGTATTCAGCCTTGCGTTATTTCCTCACTCTCCACTTTTAGGATGAAAAGAAGTCAGACGGTACAGACCCCATTTACAAAAGGAGGCGAAAGTTCTGTTATTTGGAGGAGGTTTGTTAATAAACTGCTTTTAATTTGAAAAGTAACCACTATGTGGGACTTGCGATATACTTACTAAGATCTGTGTTCTGTCTCTCTTTAGGCCACCAATCTGTCCAGTAATGGCTCCTCAGTGCGAGAGGGGCTGGATCCTAAGGAAAATAAAGTGCGCTCAATGGCTACTCAGTTGTTGGCCAAATTTGAAAGCACACCCAGCTACACCGTCCGCAGAACACAGGTAAAAAAAAACAGCAATGTGTTTTATATGGGCCTGTAGATTTTATTCTATTCTATCTCATTGTAGTACGACTGTAGTTTTCATTGTAGTCATTTAAGGATGTGTGTAAGTGCATACATATGTATGTATATTCTTTATTTCTATATCTATTTATCTATGTATCTATCTACAGATACTGTATATACTTTTTACTATCTTTCCCAACTACAGAAAGTTAAAAGTGGCGGTTTGCCCTCTTTTTCATGGATCATAAATATGTTTTAAATTTCCCTTGTTGTGAGCTGGAGCTCCGACAGTGGTCTGCGGTTTTAATCTGACAAAACTTTCCCTTTGCTAATGTTACAAAAGTCTTCTCCTGTCTGTTATTTCCAGCGTTTAATCTTTTCAGCCTTTGCTCTTTTCATTAACTGTCTTCCTAACATTTTCTGCAAAATCTCAGTCAGACTGCGAGAGGTCGTCCCTGCTTCAATCTCTTGACCTCACTGAGAGTCTGCACAAAAAACTCAGGCCTCTGGTCCCACCTAAACCTCCTCCTGAGATGCAGGTAGTCAGAAGCAGCTAAACAACATTTAAGACACTCAAAACTGCACAAACAGTAGTATTTTTATGCTAATTCTGTCGTACCATCCCAACATACATATGTACTGTACACGAAAGCACTGAAACAAACAAACACACACAGTTGTAAGCACATTCCATACATGTACATGTTCCTCAAATACATACACCAGCCATGTGTAAAGCTCAAACAATATAATTAACCTAAAATAGGAGGAGTTTGGACATTTAACAGACCATACCGGTGGTTTTACATTCTTTAGTCATGACTGACTTAGACTCTAATTTCCTTCCAGAAACTAACTGAGTGTGTTACCGCAGTTATAGATAGCTATAAAGTTATGTAGGACCAGAAACTAGACTAATTTAGCACAAAGCAAGAAAAAAATAAAATACAAATATGAATACACAATAACACATTTCTTTAATACTGGAAACAATTTAAATTATGCCACAGGTCTGCATTAATATCTTTATTTCCAACATCCCCTTTGATTGGGAGTTTGATATAAGTAAGACTGCTCTGATGTTTGGTCAACGGTCTTATGTACGCAGATGTCGTTCCTTTATGAAGTCTTAACCTCCACTCCAGTTTTCAGTTTTAAGAGTCACCAGTGTGAGTGTTTTGATTTTTAATTACCAGACTCACATCCAACATCCCACAGAAGGTTTTTGTCTTTTTTTTCATATAGCATGAACTATGTCTGGTAATTAGCAACTAATACAATATACACTTATATAATGTTTCCCCAATACTCTTAATAATCTGAAGTCAAAACATTGTATTCATGAGCTAAACTTTTGGAAAATCATACCCACAAGGCAACCAAAAGGTAAACACGAGTGTCAAGAAGGATTATATGAATTTCATTTGAAATTTAGCTGTTGGCTCGCGAGGTCAAAGCTTTAAAAATGGTTCCTGCTCGCAAATGCATTACCATGTGATGATTTCATAACTTTGGCAAAACAATGAATATTCGCTATAATGGATTACCTATGCAAGTTGCTATTCATGCTGTGCTGGCATGACTAACGCCTGCCAGGAGGGTAAGAAATCAATCTCAAAAACTTGCACTACGCTTTGAAACTGACTGGCAGCATTGCAAAGCATTTATAATTTTTAGTTAATGGACTGAAACATATAAAACCACCTGTATGGTTCTTTAAATGATCTACATCCTGAGGGCAAAAATAACAATAAATTCAAGCTCTTCACTGTTTGGTTACGACTACAAACATACCACAGCTCACATGTGCACTACTGTATTTTATCCCTTTCAGTTTGAAGTCAGTATCAGAAAAGCAGCAGAGCAGTTAGTCCGCCTGCCACCAAAGACTCTGCCCAAACCCCAGATCCAGCCTCAGTCCCAGCATCCATTTTCCATAGTGAAGCTCAGACATGTTGATCAAACACACACTGAGACGAAGCCCCAGCCCCAGTCTGAGAGCGCAGACCCCCCTGCTTCTTCTCCCTCCTGCCACTCAGCAATCCAATTCATGTCAAGAATCCTCCAGCGCCTCAGGGAGGTGGATGAACACGTCTCTGAGGTGAATGCTATCTCCTCTGTCGTATCTTTAACTTCTTTCTTCTTCCTCTTTTCCTCTCTGTCCTCGTGCTAAACCATTGCGATTGTTGTGATTGCTCCAAAAAGGCCCCAGATAGAATGTTGATTATATATTATGCCCTGATTATACATTTAGGTTTGTGTAATGTGTAGTCAGATGGATGAAGTCAGCCCCTAATTATCCAGCCTGACAAAAATGGAAAGAGCAGGCCTACAGACCTGGCACAAGCTGAGACAGACACAGTCGGATTATTGGCCAGTCTGCGTCTGTGTGGAGCAGGTCGGCCAGAGCTAGCCTGCAAAATTGCTCACATCATCAAGTCGTTTAGTGTAGAACTAAGCGTTGTTATTGAGAATTGGTGATGTGTGTTGTTTCAAATGCTGTTTCACCTTGTTTAAAACACAGGGAACAGACAAAATAATGAAAAAGACTCCATGGAGACGGGTTATTTTACTGGTTTTAGTTGGTTAGTTTTTAATCGTGACCATGATTTATGGAACATATGAGATACCTTTCAGATGCACCTGAAATCTTAACATGAATGAATTTGTTTTTTTTCTATTCTGTTAAAAATGTTACATGATGCTTTTCGACTGTCTCCAAGACCTCTTTTATCATAGCTGACACAACTGCCATACAGTGTATGAGGTAGGCTGACAGTGTTATCATTAAAGACATAGTTTGACAAGTTAGATGAGAAGATTGAAGCCACTCTAATATCTGTCTGTTAAGTACAGAGCTGGAGCCAGGAGCTGATTAGCTTAGCATCGAATATTGGAACCAGGGGGAGACGGATAGACTGGCTTTCTATAAAGTTCAAATGTACGTCTCTGGCTTACTAAGAGGATCTGTCTCATTCGTTTAATTCATTTTTACAAAAGACAGTTTGAGACTTAAGGGAGAGTTATGAGTTATGTGCTGCAACTGCATTTTGGCCAACAACAACTGTGTGCAGTCACTTTCCATTGTGTTTTTCATGAGACGCAGTACAGAGGTGCTGTTGACTCTAGAGGTGCTGATAGGGGGGATTTTTGAACTTTGGACAGAGACAGGCTAGCCGTTTCCTCCTGCTTCCACTCTCTAGCCTAAGCTAGGCTAACCACCGTCTGCCTCCAGGTCCATACTTAACATACAGACATGAGAGCGATACTGATCCTTTAAGTCCGCTAATAACAAAGTGAATAGGGGAAGTACTCCTTCACAGCTGTATTATCAATCTGTAGATAATCTAACTTTGCACATTGCGTTCTTTTAAACTAATCTTCAATGTAATTATTATACTTTTAATCAATGTGCTATGAAATTTGACGTTGATTCACTTAAAGCCTTAGAGAATCAATATGTCACCATGTGATTTATTAATGTAGATATTTTTTGGCTGAACCGATGTACTTGTCTCAGTTTTCTGTCCCAGTACAGTATGAGTAAGCACATCAAGTGGGGTGTGAAATTAATGTAATAAGGCGGCCTTCGTTCCACACAGTGACATTATTGTTCTCCTTGCGGCAATGCACACATAACTGTCAAATCCTGCTTCTATTGGGAAAGCAGAACAAAAAGGTCTTTCATCATTTAACTGTGTAGGGCTTATTAAGTGGATATTAATCTACCTAATTATGTCTACACACAGAAAGCTCCTAATTTGTTGGTGGGAAAACTCACTGTACTGAAGAGGCAAGACTGATGGTTTTTCTTTTGTTCCTGTGCCCCGTGTCATCCTGCAGAAAAAGGCTCAGACACAGCAGACTAGAGAGTTTCACACAAAGAGTATAAAGGAAAAAGCTGTTCACCTCAGTGGGTTGTTCTCAGGAGACAGCTCTGCTGTAGTCAAGGTGATTATCTCAAGCTTGATCTGTGACCCCACCCCAGTCTTGTGTTTTGCACTAACGGCCCCTCACAGTGTGTTTATTTGCATGTTGAAACACATCATGCTTGGGATCACAAGTGTTGCATGCAGCCAATTTTATCATTCATCTATTACTTTGTACAGTGTAGATTTTTTTAGAGTTAGATATACTTAGATGCAGGAAATTCTGTCATAATAATTCAATTACTTAACTTTTTTGTTTCTTTGTTTCAGCTCATTAGTAGTAAGTAATGTGCCCTTTATGTTGCCAGTTTTTTTTCCCTCTTTTTGTGCTTTTTTATTATTTTTTTTACTGTTGTTGAGCCATACCTTAACCATGTTTTATTCTCAAATTGACAGTCTTTCACTTATCAAACTATGTCAGCAATGAATGTCAAAATCTTCATCCAGTATAATCCAGAGTTTTGTAGAATCGTCCAAAATTAAGATTGCTCTCTGGCAGCAGGATTGTTTTAATCACTTAAATATTGAGTTAAAGGACAATACTGATGGTTTTTCATGTTTTAGTGTATTTTTGTCACCAACCACGGCTTGTGTTGCACTGGCATGGGGCAAACAAAGTGTCACTCTAACATCAGCATTGTTATTATTATGCTAGATATAATGGTTTTAGATGTAGTACTGTAGATAGTATTATATTCTCTATTCTAATATGAGTATACACAGATATACACAGTATACACAGAAGTGGTTTCTGGTAGAGACAAAAAAAATTGTCTTAAAATGTTTTGGTAAAACACATTTTAGCAAGATCTCTGTTTTCCAGTGAATGTCTTAACTAAATTCAGTTACCAGTTTATTAAGTACACCATGTAACAGTTTGTCTGCCCCATTTGTATCAATGACGATAGATTCATATCTAAAACACTCAGTATAATACAATACAACTCAACAGCACCACCAACTACAACCTGTAAAATGAAATAGAATCAAAATAAAGTAGAATCAACAGCCCATGAAGTTAGGATTTGTTGCAGGGCTGTTCTAGGCTTGGGCCGATACTCAACCAATACCCTAGCTCACATCTTTGTTTCATTTTATGTAGGTGTACCTCATAAAGTGGCACAAGAGTGTGTGTTCACAATGTCATGTTTGTTCCCACATTGTATGCATCCAAAAGGCAGCACTTCCAGACAGAACTAGGGACTGTTTTAAAAAAGCTCAAACAAGCATCTTAGCCCAAGATTTACATTGTCGTCATGTATCTTCTTAATTATAATAGACAGATTTATGCGAAAGAATCAGAGCTTTGCATGAGAGCTTTGCTTCTGACTGCTGTTTCTGCCTCTTGTGCTTTTAATTAGCAGCAGTCCTCACAGAGCAGAAGTGTGTGTTCTTGTGGTGGCACTTTGTGGGTTTCTCTGCTCCACCCGTCCCAAGCAGCCCTGCTCCATCTCACCAGCCAGATGTTAGAGCAGGACTTACACAAGTTTAATATAAAGGAGCAACTCCCGCTACACAATTATGATCCATGTGTGTTTTTTTTTTTATGTTTGGATCTAATTGAATTCCTGAAGAGCAACTGGGTTTCTATTTAGAACCATGAAGCATGTAACATGGTGATTATCCCCTTTCTATAATTATCGTACTTGCTGCTTTCTGTAACTATCTTTTCCTCTTGGCTGAATGTTGGGGAGTAGTTGGAAAGGAGTCTGAGGCTGTACGCTTCAGAGTAATGATGATTCTCACAGTCTGAAAATTACCCCCCGTCACGGAGCCTCATACCTCTCGCACTCACCTCAGCTGTCACTCAAAATATCACCAAGATGATACCTGAGCACTTAGACGTTCAGGGAGTGACATTCACAAGAAAATCATTAACGCGGCTACATGCGCTCTTTATCTTGAAGACATCTTCTCACATTGTCACTCTCCCTGCCTGTAATACCTGCCTGTGTGAGTAATTCACTGAACACAACAAAAAAGAGAAAAGTAATGTTACCCAACCAAATTCATTTATCAGGTTTCATGTTGCAAACTCATTGCCATAACAGTTCAAAAAAGAAAAGCAAATGTGATGTTATTACATTTTTAACTAACATGTCATATCAACATCCTCAAAGTCGGTACAAATATTGAGCATGAAAGTTTATTCTTGAGTTAGCTATTTCCAGAACCTCACTGATATGAAGAGAAAGCTGGTATGTGGACCCTGAGGCAAGAAGAAATGATAATAATAAAGTAATAAACTTTATGAACAACACACTGTTCCTAACATAGCTACAGAGTACTACCCAGTGGAGAAGAAAAACAGAGAACAAAAGAGAGAGATAAAGACCTTATTAAACATATTAAATACTCACAAAGGATTTCTTGTAAAAGAATGCTTTGAAGAATGTTTTTTGTGAAACAAAAATAAGCCAGCAGTAGTTTAAATTCATTAGCGTATGACAGCTCTGACAGTTTCAGCAATCTTTTGTTTGCATTAAAAATATGAAGTTCTATCTGCGTTCAATTAAAGGGAATTCATCATTTAAAAGGAAGGTTAGAATCAGTGCAACATCTGTCAGCTTCAGTCATCGTCATCTGCTGTCATGATTTCATTGTTTTTCTCCATCATCACTCTGACTGTACTCTGTCTCCCAGGGCGGCTCAGTACGACGGGCCTTCCCCCCATCGGGTGACAAGTGTCACTCATGCGAGAGGCGTGTTTATATGGTGGAGCGGGTCTGTGCCGAGGGGCTCTACTTCCACAGGGAGTGTTTTCGCTGTTCGACCTGCAGCTCGGCCCTGCGACAGGGAGCGCATGCTTTCGACTCTGAACAGGGTTTGTATCTTCAAATGGCTTAAAAACAGCAAAGAAAGTTGGTTTTGCTCATATACTTTGTCCTGACATCTGCTGTAATCCTACAGGGAAATTGTACTGCAAACTTCATTTTGATCAACGTAACAATGGGACAAACCTACGGAGGAACTTCTCTCTACGCTCGGTGAGTACCTTGAACATCTATTCATCTGATTCTACCAATACCTATTGTAAGAAGTTTAACTTAAATGTCCGTCACATCCTCCGTCTTAGAATCGTTACGGAGCCGGAGTTCAGGAGCGATGTGTTGCTGATGAAGAAAGCTCCCAGTCCGGCAGCACGGCAGACCTGCAGAGTCCACCTGCAGCAGGTACCTTCAGCTCGCTCATAAGGAAAAAGCTGAGCTGGCCCCTGAGTGTGACTCGCACTGTGTGTAACGCCCCCTGGTATCTGTCCTGCCGTGTGCGTAGTACAGCACAGGCCTTCGTCGGCCACCTGAGGGACAACGCCCAGGACTATACATTACTGTATGAGCTACTGAGCATGAGCTTGCCCCTGCTGTTTGTTTTACAAGAGGTACTGCTGCAGATGTACACAGAGGCTGTGCCAGATGGGCCGAGCTCTTTCCAGCCTCTGCTGCTGTGGCTGCAGGAGCGTATCGGGCACGGGCTCATCTAGACTCTCAGCAGATATCGGCTGTTAATAGTTTCCCTAGAACATCGCTCCAAATGCCATTAAACCTGTGACTGAGGTGCACGTTAGCTGGAGTGTTCTCGTCATATTATCATTTGTAGCTGGGCACAAGCACCTTTTTAATGTTTACTTGCCGGTTATGATGATACTGTAGTTAGATTCCCTCCCAGTGTGTTGGATGTACGTTTATGCATCAGCCAAATAAGAGACACTATACACTATACTATGCAACTTTTTCCAGTTCACTACAGAGGGTTGGGACAGTTTGTCAGATGATGAAAGCTGCACCAGACACTTTTGCAGTGGTTAGATGAGGAAACTGTACACTCCCTTTTGGGTTAAAATAGTTGTTAAAATGCAAATAAGATAAAAACAGGCTACAGTCAGTGCCTTAAAGACTTGAGACTGCTGAAATGTTCAATCATCATTGCTGTAGAATTTAACCTTTTACAAAAATGGATCCTGCAGTTAAAATTTCTTAACTCAGGTTATGACTGACTCACTTGATGCACTTTATCTTTGGGAACTGCCTTGTGGAAGTAGCAGGAAACTGTCACATTAATTAAAAACCTGGTCTGATGTTAACGGTGATCACCAGCCAGGTTTTCCTTTGACTATCCATATGTGCTCCTGCCATATGTTTTCTTTTAATATATATATGCAGGTATGTGTGTTTTACACATAGGTTAACCATTTGCTCATAATCTTTTTATACTCTGATCACTCTGTTTACTTCAAGAAACTGCTTTTATTGATTTTTTGATTTTTTAATTTTTTTGATTTTTTTGATTTTTATGAATGGCACCAAAAATCTCTCATGATGTTTGATACTGTGGACTATGTGGAGTATTTATAAAGTTCTACTTTGCTGCCACCTACAGTTGACTCTCAGAACATGAAGGCAAAATGAAACACCCGGCTCCTCTCCCTGTATAAAATTATTACACAATAACTGCTTTATGAAATGTTTTCAGACTTACTGTAGACAATAGAAGCTGGTGAGCATGCTGTGATGTTTTTGAATGTGCTTGCCACTCTTGCCTTGATTTTAAAACATGCTGTTGGAAGATCAACTGCAAACCTCTCTGACTGGAAGACACACAGATGCTTCCTAATCATATACACTATCTAATGATGCTTATGAAGCACTTTAGAGTTGCTTATCGAGTGTTTTTGTTTAATTTTAAAAAAATATTTTAAAATGATATTTTGCAGAAACTTCAGGCATTGTGTCAAGTGTTTACGGCATGATATCTGGGATATGCAATATGATGTTTGTGTTTTGTTTTTTCAGCTGCCTAATATTTCATGTTGAATTACTGAATGTGCTGCATGTAATATGGACTATATGTTTTGTTTACAGTGCAGTACAGGTGGAAAAAACCTCAGTGTTTTTAAAATGCCAAAGAACTGTTTTCATACACACTGACTGGACTTGTATAATATTGAAGTTATACAACACAGCAACAGTCATGCAAACTGTAACATGTACAGCGGTGCCAACATACAAATATCTTCTTCATTATGAATGTCAGTATTTGTTTTGTTTTCATAAACATTTTCTACTTTTGTGCATTCAGCTGTTTTTATTTACATCTGTATGTTTTCTGTGTGTTTTAGATTATGTTTCTCTTTTCCTCCCATCAGCTGCAGCCTTTTATGAAGTGTGTGAGACAACTGGATGGTTAGGAGAAATGAAGTTTTAAAGGTGATCACCTGCATGGTCACATGTTTGTGTGCCATAATTGTGATGTGGCTGCCGATACTGACGATAATTAACTGACCCAAAGTATCTGATGTAGCTTAACAACATTTACAGCACTGAAATAATTGCAGGTTTTCCTTTGAAGTGACATTAAGGTTTGGCTAAACTAAACTAAATGAACTTTGTCATTGATCTTTGAGCTGTTATGGGAATGAACTTGTACTAACATAGTTTGTTTTGAGACCTTTGAATAGTTGCCCACCTCTCAGAGTTTGAATAATTAATTCATTAATGAATAATGAAGTGGAACCAAACTATCGGTGCTAGTAGAAACTGGTAAAGAAGACTTAAAATCAGGTTTTAATTCCAGCCTTTTTGTGCATGTAAGTGAAAGAATTTCTTTCAAAACACCAACTTTTTATGCAAAATCAGAAAAAATAAATAACTTTAAACCAGTAGTTAACAAAATAATCCTCTGGGGTCCGCTCAGTAGCTGTTGGTTGTAATCTTCCTCAGCAGGACTTCCAGTATGCGCTTCATGCCTCATTCTTGACCATTTTCAAGGTCAAGAATGAGGTTTCAAGCTTAAATCCAAAGCCAACATGCACGAGTAATCCTTAAAGTGCTCAGAAAAATGGAAATTTGAACATCAGCAATTCAACTTCATCTGCTGAAGAAGACATGATTGCAAGCTTAACAGTACTTAATGGACCTTGTGGTGAGTTTGTTTTGTCAGCTTCTGTTCCCAGGGTCAAGATTCAGCTGTCAAATTCAACAATCTACCAGTATGTTCTTGAATTACCTGTGTCCCTGTTACCTGATTATATGTTTTGATTTAAATGGGAACGCCACTGTTAAAAATCAGCATCAGTTGTATGAAGACTACAAGTTGACAAGGAGGGAAGAATACTGATACTGATAGGGATGATAGGATGTCACAGATATCTTTCATTCTTTGGATGGTATGACTATGAAATTAAATTGTTATTAAAATACAGTTGTGGTATTAAAAGGTGCTTTAAAAGTGAGTAAACGTTGGTAAACGCTGATGAAACCCTGTTCAAGGTCTGGAAAGCGCTTTACAGGTTTTAGTGAAATCAGTGCTTGTTGCCCTCTTCACCACCGCTGAGGAGCTCTTGAGCACAGACTGTAAAACCTCCGCCCGCTCCAGTGGAGCTGCTCAGAAGTCAGTTACACTTCCCTGATGATCTGACAATAGCGGCAACGACCCACTTTACAGGTTCAATAAGGCACCATTTAGGGAAACTGTCTGTCTGTGAGCAGGTTGACCTCTAACGTTATATTTTCATCACATAAAACATATTAGTAGCATTTCTGTGCCACCTCTTAAGTAACTTCACATGAAAAAGTACATCTGCATTGTGTCAGATACTGTTCAGGAATGCAGTTGTTATGCTCAGAGGAATGAACCTCCACTGACTTAAAAAAACAAATACAGTTACATGATTCTACTTCAAAATAAAAGTCCCTGACTCTGCAGCTCCAGTTTATACTCTGCTGAAACGTCTGTACTTCTTCAGTTATGAAGCATTCATAACTGGTGTATAAACCCCTGTTTAAAGCTCTAAACATTTAGTGGAATAAAGGTGCAATTTACTAGTGGATGAGTATATACCAACTGTATTCAGTACAGAGCCATGCAAGTTCTTGTATTCATCTCTTTCTCATCTTGTCTCATCAAGTGTAGGGTTTGATCAGGTGGTGCATATTTTGAGTCATTTTGACCTGTAATGCTCAGTACAGAACAAAATTTAAACCAGAGGTTGCTGCTTATGTATCATGCTTCACAACAGGATCACTGAGAACTAATAATCTGTCCCATGTTGTGCTGTTCCTCTGCAGCTCTAAACTTTCACAAAAAAAATTTTATGAGCAAAAGACGTGACAGGGTGATTTTCCAACAGTTTAATATAATTAAATACGTGTTTATTCCAAGTTATCTGTGAATTTCTACATGCTCTAACTCACCTTTTAAAATCTGTGTTGTTGTATTAAACATAGCATGGAGCATCATGGAGATGAACTACATAAAAATATATTTGGTTGATTATTGAATTAAATCTATAAATGTTTCCTTTTTGATAGATAAACACTTAATGCTCACCGATAGCAAACACAATATTATTCAGAATATATCACACACTGATAAACTGTGCTAAACAAGTTAATGTTTTTTCCTCTTTGTTCTGTACCTCTTAATGAATTCATCACAGCCAGTATCGGACATTACATCTCAACGATATAACATAACAACCTCAGGTTTTTGTAGTGAATGTCTCTTTCAATGACAGCACTCAGTTTCAGTTCAACCTTAATAACTATGGAGAGCAGTGTATGGTGAGCGCGTCTGCAGAAATATTCAGATTTCTTTTCCAACGTCTGTTTTTCATTCAGAAGCTGCCACGCTAGAGGGCTGTCGCTTGATCAACTCAGGACTGAGAATCAGCATTACTTTTATACGGAGCATTATTAATGATGTGATTATATAAAATGTTTATAAGTAATGGTGATTTTTTTGAAGAGTGTGTTCAGAACGTTTTCTTCTGCTCTTTAGCAATTCCTGCATTATTTTTTGTGCCGCTATATTACTTTTTAACCAATAAATGTATGTTTTGTTACTGACTCATGACTTCAGAATGATTTTAAGCTGGTTCAGGTTTATTGTCTTACCTTGACAGTAAGGAGTTACAGATTAGATGCTTATAGTTGTTTTGTTGACCAAAGCAACAGTTTTTAAATAGAATAGAATATAATTCTATATACATAAAAAATGTTTTTTTTTTTTTTTTACAGTGTAGTATTTAAAAGAAAATATCAGATAGTAAAAAACTCTCAATTCCCTAAAAAACAAAACAATAACTAACACCAGCACATCAAAGCTACTGCGCTGTCTATGGCCTGCCACAGTTGTTAAAGAAAACGCTCATAGCCACAACCTGGAAACTAAAATATTATGTTACATTTCCACAAAATGTTTTTCCAAGCTCTGAAAGATCCACTGCTTGTTTCTGTCCAACTTCACGATAGCACCATTGACATCTCATGAACAATCCCTTTCAACGTGCGATTACTGACCTCTGTTTCTCTGAGGTATAACTGGAATAAAGTCTGGTTAATAAAGTGCATAATTCTCTGTCTCCTCTTTAATGCAAAATCATATGTTGTGTTAAAAAGTGTTTAGGAATGCACTTACTGGAGGGGGCAGAGAGCAAAGCCTCCATTGACTTAAAAAAAAAAACTGCTCAGTAAAATGGAGTAAGGGTTGTATAATTGAAGTAAAAAAGTCCTTGAGTCTAAAGAGCTGGTTCATATTCTGAATGCACGTCTTTATCGCCTGGCTTGGTTAATTAAACTTTCCAGTTTTCAAGTGTCAAAGTGGATAGAAAGACTGAGAGCGACTGAGAGTCTGATGGTCGTCCTTTTTGAATTAAAAAGAGGACATTTAGATGGTTAGTATATCTGGATTATAGTTTGACTCTCACTGACTGTTAATAGGTAATTAAAGGGCAAGAACAAACTCTCCGTCTGATATTGAATGGAAGAAAGGTATAAATTCCTAATCCAACATTGTGGATGAGTATGTGCCATTTCATAAGAACCAAAGAAGTCATTCAGAGCAGGTTTAATTTTCTAATTTCTGGTTCATTCTCGAGTGCTGTAGAACTGAAGCTGTGATACTTACAGCTGGTTTCACTGTGACAAACTCAAGGTAATGTGTTCCATTCAGAAAGCATTTAATTTCAATGCAATTAAACATTTGAGTGAGACCCTTGAAAACTGCTTAAAGTTATTATATGTAACTTTTCCACATTAAAATGTCTAAAAATGACTAGAAAGATTCTGTTTTTTTGAGTGGTGTACTTACATTATACCATGTTTCCATCAATTTTCAAACCTAGAGAAATCCGTAATTTTCTGATCATACAAGGACACGATCAGTTTCATTTAGTCACCTGTCAATGGCGTCATATCCCCTTTGCACAGCATTGTGGTTATCTGACAGAAGTGGTCAAAATTGATTTATTTCATCCCGTTTTAGATATTGGTCATTTTAATTAGATATTTTAACTGGATGAAGGATTTTAGTCATCGGACCTCTACATCATAAGTTATCAGAGAAGCAAACTGTCAAACAGTGTTGGAGAAACACAGATCTTAATGTGAAACTGTTTTATTCGTGTTTTTATCTGATTTAATTACAGTCCATTTATTTTGACGAGTAGACCGCTGTGGATAATTCGACACCCATTAAAAAACTTCTTGCTGACTGCAATGATGGCAATGCTGGTGAGGACAACAACTCCCATGATCCCACACTTTCCTTATTCTTCATGAATAACTTGAAACTGATGAGAGCATTTCAGAGGTGGAAAGAGCAAAATATCTACTGAATGAATACACACTATTATTTCTTACACATTTGACAGGTTTTATTTCAATTCTCTATTTATTTTTCAAAACATTATGTAAATATTTTATGCTGTTAACGCAGAGTAGAGCAGAGATTGTTTTCTCTTTCTCTCTGAATGGATCAGTGTTTGTAATTTAAACCAGTCTGCAAGAAAAATAAGTCCCTAATCCAAACAGACACATAAAAACAGGCCTTAAACAGCCCTTATGTCACAAAACAAACTTTAAAAATGACTCAAAAAAGGACATAAACAGGATACTCTGTGCTCACATGTTCAAGCTTGTTTTAAACTGTTTCCATGCACGCTTTTAGAAATAAAGAGTGTTCTGTGTTCTGTTAGTTTTTCTATAAAATTTCTTCCACATGAAGGTCTAAATGATTCAAAGCTTTTGTAACACTGCTGCAGATAAAAGTTTGATGAGTAAAACTGAATTTGCT